TAAAAAAAAGAAGCTTCTTTCCGAGTACTTTAATTTTAAAAATTATAATTTTTGAAAAAAACTGAATTGCAAATTGATAAATGTAATCTAATTCTTTAAAAATTAAAAAAAAGAGTTAACTTTAAAAATTTACTGTGGTCGTTCTAATCAACCGATTTCAATTTTTTAAAAACCATTTGAAAGGTTGAGCGGTCTTTTCAAGTATCTAGAATTGTAGATGCTTTATTTGAGGCTGTGCAACATTTTGGAAATTCGAACATTTTTTAAAATTTTTTTTCAAAAAATTATTTTGTGAAAACTATCGAACCGATTTTAATGAAATTTGGTGTGTTGTTTTATTATACCCTAAAGTTTTTTATACCAAAATTAGAATGCCCTCGGAGCAATTAAAATATTTTTAAAAAAATTATTCAAAAAACTTGATTATTTTGCCTTTCTTTCATCAATTATTGCTATTTTGCAACATCGGTAATAAATTTAAACATTTTTAACTTACAGTATATTGTGCAAAATTTAATTCTAAAACTTTTTTCAATATTCAATATTCTTCCAAAATGCATAGATTCCAAGATATAAGTAAAAAATTTTAAATAGTTTTGCAATTTTGAAAATATTCCGGGCCTCGCCCAAATCTAGGAATCTACACATTCGCCTCAAAACAGATTCGCCCTGGTCTATAACCAGTACATATAGGTATAGTTCAAATTACCTGCTTTAATTTATGCAGAGACACCCAATAATAAAAGCGTAGTCTTTGTATACTTGAATCGCACTGAATACATAAAATCTTATTTAATATCATGAGGGTGATGTAAGTGTAATTAATTTACAATAAAACTGTTATGTTCGAATATTTTATGATGAATGAGAACTATTGCGAAATTATCGATTTTAATTCAGCGGCCATAAAAGAGACGTACAAATAAATCGAACGATATTCGTTACATGTTGCATCTATTTCCGGTACTTTTATGATAGTTTGCGGGCATTTTCAATAAATTTGACAGACTTAATGAAATATATACTACAATTTTTAATTTGTGTACATTATAATGCCTGTGAAATATCCGAGGTTGTCTCAATTTGTTAGCAATAAAATATAAACCAATCATCACAGGTTAATATCGTATGCATTGTTTTTGACGGGGCTGTACTTTCCTAAGCCCGCTCAAATAAAAATCAAACAAACGTTACGCAAAGAAAATATTGACGGTAATAAATTCCGTTTTTTATTGTGGTTGTGGTCGGGATAATCCTGGGCTGCGTGATTTCTTCATTTTTCGAGAGAAAACAAACCGTCGTGGTAAATTTTATTGTTTTATATATGCGTTATTTGTCTGGGAGCCGTGCCAAATGGGATAATAGAAATTTTGCAAGAAAATTTTCTCCCCGGTTGCACAATCGACCCTATTTGATATGTCAGTCGATAAAATGGAAGAATTTAGACCACTTAATGGTTTAGCATATTTTTACATAGGATTTAGATTGTTTTTCCCAAGCTTTTCTTTCAAATTTGATCCGGTTTGGTAATACATAATTTGGTGTATTTTTTATACAGTGTGTTAAAAGTTTGATTGCCATTACCGAAGCGGTACACTACAATTACATTTAGTACCTGCCCCAATAGATGAAAAAGTTACACATGCAAAGTACCAAGGGCCCCCGTACCTACCCCAATGGACCTTGTGGAAATAAATGGATTAGTCCATCAAATTGCTCATCAAAATTTAGCTGTGTATACCAAATTTCATTCATTTATCACAACGCGATTGAGAGATATTGCAAAAAAATGATTTCCATTCCTCCCTCTTCAATNGTCCGAGGATTCCAACAAACCAAACCGCACCCTTCTAAGTCGAGAAATAAAAAAGTTACAGGCTGTTCGCAAATGTAAAAAGTCACGTGACTTAAAACGTGCCCTAACAAATCCCTTCCATATCTTTTTAACCGTTGAAAATATCGAAAAACTAACTCTGGCGTCCCTCTAGAATTTCGTCCGAGGATTCCAACAAACCAAACCGCACCCTTCTAAGTCGAGAAATAAAAAAGTTACAGGCTGTTCGCAAATGTAAAAAGTCACGTGACTTAAAACGTGCCCTAACAAATCCCTTCCATATCTTTTTAACCGTTGAAAATATCGAAAAACTAACTCTGGCGTCCCTCTAGAATTTCGTCCGAGGATTCCAACAAACCAAACCGCACCCTTCTAAGTCGAGAAATAAAAAAGTTACAGGCTGTTCGCAAATGTAAAAAGTCACGTGACTTAAAACGTGCCCTAACAAATCCCTTCCATATCTTTTTAACCGTTGAAAATATCGAAAAACTAACTCTGGCGTCCCTCTAGAATTTCGTCCGAGGATTCCAACAAACCAAACCGCACCCTTCTAAGTCGAGAAATAAAAAAGTTACAGGCTGTTCGCAAATGTAAAAAGTCACGTGACTTAAAACGTGCCCTAACAAATCCCTTCCATATCTTTTTAACCGTTGAAAATATCGAAAAACTAACTCTGGCGTCCCTCTAGAATTTCGTCCGAGGATTCCAACAAACCAAACCGCACCCTTCTAAGTCGAGAAATAAAAAAGTTACAGGCTGTTCGCAAATGTAAAAAGTCACGTGACTTAAAACGTGCCCTAACAAATCCCTTCCATATCTTTTTAACCGTTGAAAATATCGAAAAACTAACTCTGGCGTCCCTCTAGAATTTCGTCCGAGGATTCCAACAAACCAAACCGCACCCTTCTAAGTCGAGAAATAAAAAAGTTACAGGCTGTTCGCAAATGTAAAAAGTCACGTGACTTAAAACGTGCCCTAACAAATCCCTTCCATATCTTTTTAACCGTTGAAAATATCGAAAAACTAACTCTGGCGTCCCTCTAGAATTTCGTCCGAGGATTCCAACAAACCAAACCGCACCCTTCTAAGTCGAGAAATAAAAAAGTTACAGGCTGTTCGCAAATGTAAAAAGTCACGTGACTTAAAACGTGCCCTAACAAATCCCTTCCATATCTTTTTAACCGTTGAAAATATCGAAAAACTAACTCTGGCGTCCCTCTAGAATTTCGTCCGAGGATTCCAACAAACCAAACCGCACCCTTCTAAGTCGAGAAATAAAAAAGTTACAGGCTGTTCGCAAATGTAAAAAGTCACGTGACTTAAAACGTGCCCTAACAAATCCCTTCCATATCTTTTTAACCGTTGAAAATATCGAAAAACTAACTCTGGCGTCCCTCTAGAATTTCGTCCGAGGATTCCAACAAACCAAACCGCACCCTTCTAAGTCGAGAAATAAAAAAGTTACAGGCTGTTCGCAAATGTAAAAAGTCACGTGACTTAAAACGTGCCCTAACAAATCCCTTCCATATCTTTTTAACCGTTGAAAATATCGAAAAACTAACTCTGGCGTCCCTCTAGAATTTCGTCCGAGGATTCCAACAAACCAAACCGCACCCTTCTAAGTCGAGAAATAAAAAAGTTACAGGCTGTTCGCAAATGTAAAAAGTCACGTGACTTAAAACGTGCCCTAACAAATCCCTTCCATATCTTTTTAACCGTTGAAAATATCGAAAAACTAACTCTGGCGTCCCTCTAGAATTTCGTCCGAGGATTCCAACAAACCAAACCGCACCCTTCTAAGTCGAGAAATAAAAAAGTTACAGGCTGTTCGCAAATGTAAAAAGTCACGTGACTTAAAACGTGCCCTAACAAATCCCTTCCATATCTTTTTAACCGTTGAAAATATCGAAAAACTAACTCTGGCGTCCCTCTAGAATTTCGTCCGAGGATTCCAACAAACCAAACCGCACCCTTCTAAGTCGAGAAATAAAAAAGTTACAGGCTGTTCGCAAATGTAAAAAGTCACGTGACTTAAAACGTGCCCTAACAAATCCCTTCCATATCTTTTTAACCGTTGAAAATATCGAAAAACTAACTCTGGCGTTATAATGTTCACGTAAAAAATTGTTCACGACTTCACGACTGGGGAAATCACTTGGGTTTTCATTTACTAAGTATTTTTCAAAAGAAAATACATGAAATATGCTGTAATATTTAAGGGTAAAAACAACCTCTTTTTTCGCTCTATTAGTTGGTCTATAGGTTTGGTAGGTATTTTAGAAAAATGTTATTTTTTCGAAAACAATGAAGTTATTATTTTACAGAAAATTCCGTATTTGTGAGGTGCATTTTTCGATATCAGAACGCATATGTAACGGTTTTTGAACTGTTTTGGAAAAATTGAAAAGTCAAAATTTTTTTTTAACTGATGAACAGTCCATATTTTTGTTTGATTTTCTGAAATCTTCAAATGAAATGGTAGGGAGACTCGGGAATTAGTTTTTCGACATTTTCAATACTTAGTTGAAAAAAAAAAATTATTAAAACTTATTAAGAACCTCTGGGATTGTCCCGGAGTTACATACCACATAAAAAGTGACGTTCGTTCCCAAAAGTTGAAAGCCAAGAGTACAGTTATGGATTAATTTATAACAATTACGATAAAGTGTAATGCCGTTAACGAAAATATAAGAGGGCCCAGATTAGAGCCCTGGGGTACTCCAGAAGTAATAAGAAACCGACTAGATTCAAATCTGCTATAAGTGATGTATCGCCAACGACTGCGAAAGTATTAAGAAGTTTTATCGAATTTTTTAACCCTAGAACCAAGTTGATGCTCCCAAAATTTGAATATACGTTGTACACAGTCAACATTCGAAATCGAAGTTTAGTTTAATTTATGACAACTTAAAATAAACAGTAGAAAATTTTTTATCGTTAACGAAAATAGAAAATGTAAGAGGACCCAGATTAGAGCCCTGGGGTGCTCCAGAAGTAATAAAATCCTGTCTAGACCTAAATCCGCTATAAGTGTCACATTGTAAACGACCGGATGAGTACGATTTAAAAAGTTTTAAGCGAATTACCGCAAAAACCGCGTGGTTTTGAGTTTTCTGGCCATTACTATCACTACGTGCAGCTCGTCACGAATCACGGGTATACTTACTCCCTGATAAGTTCAACAGCCTCTTCATACTTAAGTCCGAGTTCAATAAGGGCCAAAGCAACCATGACGGGGGCCCTGCCAAGGCCGGCGATGCAGTGCACCGCGACGCAGCCGTCTGGATTGTCGTTGAATTGTTTCTTGAGGACTTTGAACCATTCCTCTACTATTTTGTTGGGTGGGAAGGTGCCGTCGTCGTAGGACAAGTCAAACACCTCGATGTTTACCTTGTTCAGTTCGTCTACTTCGTAGGATGGTTCGCAGACCCTCACCACTGCGGTCACATTGTGTTTTTGCAGCTCCTGGAAACAGAAAACAAAAAGAGTGCAGTGCGCTGATGCCAGATTTGGGGACGCGATAAAATTTCCATTCTTTCTATGGAAGCGCACACTTAATTCATTAATTTTTTAACGACTACAGCGCTGTCCGTAAAAAAGGGAAAACTTATTTGCAAAAATAGGAAAATTGTTTTTAAAAAATAATAAAATGTTCGACGAATTGTACGCGAGTCAAAAAGTGAATCGGTCTTCATAGAAATTGGTATGGGATCATTTTGAGAGTAGAATAACGTTTTTTCGAATGAAAATAAGCCAAATACAAGTTTAAAAAATACTCTTAAAAAAGGGGAAAAATTGACTTTTCTATTCGGTGTCTATAAATAAATATAAATCGAAACACTCCCTATATTCTTCCATATTACGTTCTAGCGCTTTCTATCTCACAAAGGTATGCGTTTAATGGGCATATAATCTCTAATGTAAAGGGCGATATGACCAAAAGAATGTATAATAAACGTTATTGCATTGATAAAGATTTGACTGCGTGTGCTGTACTGGCAATAACTTTTAAACGCTTACGTTTGTACTTACATTCTTTTGGTCGTATTTTAATATTAGAGACAGCCCAATATAAGTAAACCGGAGTGCAATAAAAACATTTTACTTGAAAAAAAGTACTTAACGAAGCTCTTAAATAAAGCGGTAAATGTTCAGCCAACCCTAACTATAACTGGAAGTGACATAAATTTGGACCTTCCGGTGGATGTCGCGGTGAACTGCATTGTAATGTGATTAACGATTTATCGGCGAGGTAAAAATATGGCATTGTAACGTCGGTGGAAGGCCTGTTGGCCGCATCGGTTGTTTCTAATTTCTAGCGTGCAAAGACGCTTTCAATTGTTACAAACGGACATATTTGGAAAAGAGTTTCCATGGCCTACTAACCTAGTCGCGCCCAATCGTTACCGCGGAGTGTATTTTTACGACAGTGCATTGCAGGCACCCGCTGCCGTTTCGATTTTCGTATCGGGGTAATTTCCCATAAACCTCAAGAATTTTTTACAAATCGGCACAAATATTTCATTAAAATGCACAAACGCCACATGAGATGACAAAATGTTCTGGTAATAATAACGCAGTTTATAAATGTTTAATTCAAAAGTCATAAATAAACTTTTTCTGTTTATAACTTTTGATCTAATCAATATTTTTTGACGCTCGAGGGCTAGTTTTGTAGGTCTTTTGAAGACAAAAAAAAAGTCATTTACTGTTTTCTCGTGGAAATGAACGGACAAAAGTTATAAGCGAAAAACTTGAATTTACGTAAAAATTATACAATTAACCACCCTGTAAACAATCTTCCCCCAATTTTTATGACTGTGGAAACTGATATGTTATTGTACATAATATTTAGCATCTATAGTGATAAATTCAGCTTGCCGAAACAAAAAGTCGCGTCCAACTCTATATTTCCTGGACTGTACAGTAGTTTTTTAAATAGTACGTTTTTAGATGTTCGAAATCTGCATTTCTCGCTACAATATAAACATTTATTTTTTATTTATAACCGTTTATGAAATATAGTAGGATATTTAAGCTATCGCCCACGCTTTTTCTTCCTTTTCGAAGTGAAAAAAATAAAAAACTACGTAAATAAAACGTGGATTCTGGCTTGTTCTACGCATAACCTGTAACAGCGGTTTAATTTACGTTTTGCTTTTGCAATTATTACGTTGTTTTTATTTATTAATTCTATTTCTTCAGTTATTTCCGTTACGAACGTCTGGAAGATTTAATAGTTAATAGAATATCATCAAAACAAGTTCTAGTTGTTTCGTACTTTGCATTTTCTTCTTGAATTAAAAATAAAAGAGTTGAGAGGAGTTGACATTTATAACCAATAAACCTGTACCTGCTAATACTGTTTTTTTTTTTAACATATTTGGGCTAAGTACTTTTATTAGCATCCGATTTTAAACAAATAAATATTTTGTACGTTAATGCTGCTCTGTTTAAAACTGCATGTCAAAAATTTTATTTATAAAACTTATGAGTGCACTTATAATCCAAAGTATACAACATTAAGCTCCAGAAACTTTATACAAATATGCTCTGGTTCCATTTTAATTCGTAAACAATTTTAATAAGATTATATAAGGATTAGGACGTGCTTGTAATCGTTATCTCTTATCTTCCTGGTGTCGATGATATTATAAAAATTCAAGGATGTGTTCTACACTAAGAAAACAATTTCGGTTGATCGAATAAGAAACGTAAACTTCCGAAATGAACTTACCTGGATGTAGACGTGGATGTTCTGATCGGAAGGCCTGTCAGTGATCAAAAATTTGAATCCCTTGTATTCGATTTCAGCAGGAGCTGGCCTGATGTCCTTCTGGCGCATGGCTGTCGTGATGAGCCCGGCTTGTCCTTGAGAAGTATGATTCATTCCCCCGCAACACAAGGTAATTTAGAATATCACACAACTACTGGAGACCTCGGCAGTCTCCGAATTTACCAAAAGAATTCGTTAAAAAATAATTAAGTTTTTGGTGTTAGATGGTGAAAATAAATTCAGTCTTTTACAAACAAAAAAGTTATTAGAACTTTTTTTTCGGTTTTAATAATTGTTATTTATTTACACTAGGTTGATATGCTTCAGCAAATTTAGGGAAGAACGGAACTAAAATACAATATAAATTAATTTTTCTCGTCGGTGTCGATAAAATTGGGAAAATCAACGTACTTATTTGGCTTTCGATGAGGTAAATCCAATAATTATGGCAATGATGTTAAAAATGACTAAGTTCAGTGGTTTATTATTTTATTATTAATTTATTTGTGTTGGGCCTGGCAATATTCTGCGCTGTCCAAGTGGAACTCCATGTATGCGAGCACTGTCTCACCAAAACACTGAAAAAAATAATAACAGTTAAAAACACCAACGACGCACCCCAACACTACACCTCATTTACGTTCACCTTTTAATCAACTTGAAACGTAAACGCGTTTTACAACAACCCCAGTGTTCGACGAAATGGATATTGAATTATACTTACGGTGGTTGTTTAACAACACCGCAACTGTCATACTAACAGCTATATGTACTTTTCGTTGACACGCTTTGCAACAACTAGCATTTTTGCGAATGATAGCTCTGGTATTTTTAGACTTATCTGCTGTGAGCATCTTAAACACACTTTGAACATCGGTTATCTACAGTTGACGTATACTTTTATCTACAAAACCATTAACTCGGGATCTTATCTGTTTCATGTTCCATAGAAAATATACCCCCAGATTAGATAAGTGTTCATAATCCGCGATAATGTACACTTAACCGAAATCAGCAGAACTAGCTTTCTGCTATTTGAAAATTTTTAAGGCCGAGGTTTTTTCTATTGTATTGTTGGACCCGATTTTCTTTATTTTTAAATGAAATTGGAGTTGTCTGGTCCTTAAATCAAAACCTGGATGTAACATTGACCCTTCCAAAAATACTTGAGATCCTGCCAAAACATCAAATTGTTTTATAAATACAAGATGACGGGAAATATTCAAATCAATGTCACCTTCATGCTGAAAGCAATTACAGGCGTTAATTTAAATGTTGTTAAATGATCTTACACGTAAGGCGACACCGCGATGTAATATCAGTAACGTTGTTTATCTTTGCGACTGTAACCATTAGAAGCACGTACGGCGTGTCACGATAAAATTTCTCTTTTCCCAGTGCACTTCAAGTCCATGTTTACACGTCAAGAGAAAAATATGTTCATTACTTTCCAATCAACCACTGTAATCGTGAAATCCTGAATACTGAAGCATCAAGAAACGTTTACATTTCCCGTGAAAGACGAAAGTATGCGTCAAAGTTTCCGAACTCCCTGTACAAAGCATGTATATCAAAGGTGAACAGTGTACGAGATTAACTCTTGTTTACAAGTTGGGAGCAATTTTTAATACGTATCTATCAATGACGATTTGCTTAACAAATACCGGACAATTCGTGCGGTGGTCATAATTGGAAAGTTGACTAAAAACAACCATCTTGGCAGTCCCCCGCGTTTATTTTTACACGGTACTACGTACTATCAATTTTTGGTGGTAGGGCAGAAGGCAAACAAACAGAAAAAATGCACGGAGTTTTGCGTTCTACGATTTAAAAACAAAGCACACGTGGTCGGCGCACTATTTTCGAACCCGTTTTGTTTTCGAATTCAGAAGGCACTCGAAATAACCCCAACACACACATGCGAATCTAACACGTCTCTTGGTTCAGAGGCACTTACATTTATTATTTATACAGACCGTCTAGACACTTTAACTGACTGATACCCGGGCATCTATCACTCGAATGCACGACCTACTTAACCTTCCGACAAGAACGCTACTGATAATGGATCAACGAAGGGTTAAGAACACGGGTAACTATCAGGATCGGTATTCGGGTGTAGTTCTGTAGGTTAGGGACAATTTGTTTTAAATTCGAGTCCTGTCCCGCCTCTAAAAATAGTACCAGTATCCCTCCCCTTATTATCACTTGCCGAAAACCGTGGTGGTGGTGTTTCGTAACTACATTTTGGGTGACGACAGAACGCAATCAATTATGAAAAATACTCAGGGTAAATACAAATTATACCCGCTATAACGTAGCTTTATCACTGATAGTTTACGTTTTATTAATTATTAATAATTTTTTCTCTAACTTCGCGAAAACTCGTAGAACAATAAAAAAAAGCACATGTAAGCTTGAAGTTTCTAGTTTCAGGATCTGAAAGTCAAAAGTTTAAACAATGACAAGAAATCTAGCAGAAAAAATTATCTCAATTTTTGCTTCACTTTCAAATGTCCATTTTTTTTTTTTGGCAAGCCCACCTGTCAGCTCTTTTTTATTCATCCTCTTTCTTTAATTTGCGTTATTCAAGACCTTATACGATGATTTGTTGCTAAATTTCGTCGTTCGATACAAAAATTACTTTTTTGTTTTTAATAATTACATTAATCGGTAACTAATGAGAGGCAGAAAATCTAAGCAAAGTTTTGAAAACTTCAAAGTATTCCCTACAAGACGGTTTTTGATAAAAAAAATATTTTCGTCAAAAAGGTAAACAAAAAAATTTGAAAAAAAAATATATTTTATTTACGAATATACGGAAAAGATTTCATGGATTTTTGCGAAAAAAACACACTCAATTTAAAAAAAATAATAAAAGATTCAAAATGTATCCTTTAAGTAATTGATTTTTAGCAAAAGTCACAATTTCAATCATTCGAATCACAATGAAAAAATAATCAGCGGTTTGAACTCTCGAGGGTATCTTTGGGATGTTTTACGGTAAGTCTATTAGACCAGGGCGGATCTGTTTTTGAGGTGGATGTGAGAGAGGACAAGCAATTTTTTTCTGGAGTACAAATCGCATAATAAAATTGTAGATCCCTAGATCGGGGCGAGGTCCGGAACATTTTGAAAATTGCAAAAATGTTTAAAAAATATCTATTTTATCTATTTTTTACTTATATCTTGGAACCTATGCATTTTGGAAGAATATTGAAGAGGAAAAAAAGTTTTAGAATTGAATTTTACACAATATACTGTATGTAAAAAATGTTTTACCGAAAAATTAATTTCCAAATACCTATATATTTTTTAATTTGTTTAAACAAAAATTATTTAAATAATAGTAATAATTATAACTAAATACCCTGCTCAAATGGGATTGCCAAAAAAAATTGTTGAAGCCAGTGGACCTTTTAGAAAGTGAAGCAAAAATATTGAAAAGATTTTTTCCGCTTGATTTCATACGATTTCATAAAAGTGGTCAACAAATTTTGACTTTCTGATCCTGAAACTAGAAACTGCAAGCTTCAATTTGATAAATCAGTTTATCATATCGTATTTATAATGCAGATTTCCATAAATATGTTATTATTTCCACAGCGTAATTTCAAATAATAACTTGGTAACGTAAATTAGTGATTCTGCATACCAACCAAGGCCGATTAAGTTTTATAACATTCATAGTGTAATTACGGTCCAGATACCAGGTACCCTGAGTTCAATTTTGCTTTATATTAAAATTACAACCCTTTTTCCAACGCAGGTACGAAATATAATTGCAGCTATATTAAATTACCAATAATATGTGCAATATTTAGATTAGGGCGGTGGTGTTATCTAATCCATGCCATAAAATTGTCATTAAAGCGTTATTAAGGTTCGAAAGATTAGTAAAATCTGCCCGTTAACGTATTATTTAGCAAATAAAATCGATATTGAAATTATTAGGGTAGGGTATGAATTTTTTGTAATGTTGAAACGAAATATGCCCAACCAGTACAAAAAACATGATAGTTGTGGATTATTACAGCAAATCGATTGTCATTGTAGTTAAATGAGAGCGTCATAAAAGCATACCTCGTTAATAACTGGTGGATTAAACGGCGACTGTGATAATCTTGTAATTATGTTTGTCACAAAGTTGCAAGATAAAATGATACAATTTTACTGGATCTAGCAAACCTGGTTAGGTATACAATGTTGTTGTTTTAGAGCCGGTTTGAAGTGGCGATAAACATGTTTCCAAGATCCCAATAAATTTTAATGTTAATTGTCTTTGATAGTACAAGCTCGAAATGACTTATCTGAGAAAATTAGTCACATCCGCTGAATTTTTCACGTTGCTCGGTCGATCTTAAGAAATATTTTCGACGAACTCTGCGTTTATCTACACACAAAACTAAGTTCTTTTGATTTGTTTCTTATTTACACGTTCAATGTTTCGATAATAATTTCTAATCTAGATTTTCATTAAAACTCAACTGAAACAAAGGTACCCTTCGATATGGGAAATACTAGAAACGTTTGATTTCTAGAATGAAGATAATCTTGACAAGATCTACATATCGGCTGAGTGACACAATATTTTTTGGCGCCATGTAAGTAGATTAATCAAATCCAAAGTTATCGTAAACAACTTATCTAAAAAAATTACATACTTTGATAAAGTAAAATTTGTATTATCGTGAAGGGGCTGTAAGGCAACGACTACACACGTAGTTCCGCAATCTTAGTGTGTACACATCTTAATTTTATCTAGGACGAGGTAAATCGTACGGAAAAATCTTCGTCACAGCCTACTTGATACTAAAACTCGAATTTCTATGTATCTGTGCGGTTTATTTTACCATGTGACGCACGACCCAGCTGTAAAAGTTTCATGTTACAATAATTAAATAGTATTATGCAAATCTACATTTCTCGAAAACGGGTGACAATTATTGCAATGTTTTTCTTTTCAGTTGCGTAATATTGAGCCGGTAACATTAATTCATACGAGTTTTTCCGCAAATGAGTCACGAACGTGTCATTTTAAGCGGAACTCCGCGTGAATATGTTGATTCTCCAAATTTTTGTTTCTACGTGAGAAAAGTGAGTAAACTTGCCAGAAATATTAATCCCTCTTTGCCCTTCCCCGTAAATCCTTTACGAGATGATAGAATGCGACATTAGCCACTACAACGCAGACTGGGGGAATTGATAGGGTCTTCGTGGGGCCAAGTTGATCGACATCTAGCCCGAGTCAACGACCTCCCATGCAACCCGACAAAAACCAAGTGTACCCATACCGCAAAACTAAAATTTGTATTTGTACAAAGGATGAGCGGAAGACGACCGCAAACCCGCAGGACGAAGTGATTCGAATGTAACTTACGCAATAAACCGATCGGTAATAAATCATTTTTATTATCCTACGAGGGTGGAGCGAATGACGCACCCTAAAACACGGCGTGGGATGCTCTCCCGGCATTATTAATTGTTGCCACATCAAATACAAATAAAGTACTTATTCCAAAATCGTTTGCGCTCTTTGAACGGTATAAGCTGGAATATAACAATGGCATTTGCAATCAGTAGTGATTTCTATGGACGTATTTGCGTCAGTTAGGCTACAGCAAAATCGTACTGACCTTCAATGTTGTCATATCAGGCTCAGTAGCCAAACAAACTCATATTACGGCGATACTGTATTAGTTACTGATTTATATCATGTATCAATCGACTTTGTTACACGTAAAAAAAAATAACGAAAAGGATCCTTGAACGGAAGTTGTCATGTCATAAATATAGGCTAAATCCAGGGGCTTACTTCCGCAACTGTAGCGCGAAAAAATTGGATTAAAGTTGTGTAATAAGATTATCCCTTTTTCCTCAATGAAACTTCCGCCCCAGTGAGTACAAATTTCGTGGAATAACTTGCGCTTACTCGATACACAGGCCGAAGTAAGTAACGAGTTGTAATATTGAGCAATGTTTCCAAACTGGAAAAACGCATTCGAGGTGTCAAATTAAATTTTGTTCGCGTATAAATGAGGTACGGAAGTAATAATTATTATGTGTGGAGCTTTAATGTGTATGTAGTTTCGCTCACCTTTCGTTCTCACCCAGACTCGGACACGATTTACTTTAAATGGTTTTAGCATTATTTAAATGCTCAACCAACCGTTCAATTGTGTTTTATCGCATCCGCTTTTCAATGCCTATGAAATTAATAATCCACATCAGGAAATGCTTTGAGGTGAATCGGGTGATTTTATTCAGAACTAACGTATGCAATCAAGTCTAGTCACCTCACACATGTCAGTCCAAAGACCGTCCTTTAGGGAATTATATCCAAGCACCATTGTATACAGATTTTACCTGCTTGCTTTATAGCCAAGGTGTATAGGTAGGTACGTATAAATTAAGATGTACAGAGTCCGCTTGATAAACTCTGGCAATCGAACAAGTTCACTTCACTTGCTAAAATTTTCTTAACGTACTGGAAAACCCCAATTTGCTTCACATAATAACAATGGTATTTTTAACTTCGGGTAATATATTTGCAGGAGCGCAAAATGCGAGCCCATAGCCGGTTTGTATCTCTTAAATGAATAAGGAAATGCCATATGTTTGTTGTTTTTGCTGGGGAACCGATTGTTTGCTGCCGAGATTTTTCCAGTTGAGGGGAAAACAAAATTCGCCGATATCTTAATTCGCTTTCGCCAAAGGGCTAATTTGAACTGTTCTCAGCGTTCAGTGCAATTAAAGCTTCGTTTATTTTTAATGAAGTAAAAGTAATGTTTCCTAGCCATAGCATGGCCTTGTTAATTCGCGAAAAATAAAAATCAGCGTCGTGAGCAACTGATCAACTGTACTTAGCTTGATTAGGATGAAAATTTTTATAGTTTTAATCTACACTCCTAGTTTACTGCCGCTCCTATCACAAATCGCACAGATAACAATTGTACTTTGATTAAAAAATTGCTACACTATATGCATTCAAAAGGTTAGTTATTTATATAGTCAAAAATGGAAAACAATGTTTTAGTTGCGTTAATTTGAAGGATTTTTGTATTTGAAAATATTTTTTGGATTATTTGCGACAAATGGTTTTATAGCATCATCAATGCAGCTGTGTCCAAATGAGCAATAGTTTCGTTATTTACGAATCTACAAGGTAGCTGCCAAATCCCGATAAAACATGCAGCGTATCAAATTTTGCACAAAATTTGCCAAAAAAAGAGAAAGACTCGCTTCACGTACCGAATTAGAAACTACTCGGTTCGTAACAATTATTAATTAAGCAATATTATAACATATCTGCATACCTCTATAGCCATACACATTGAATTTGGAGTTGCCAGGATAATATTGGAGATCCACAAAAACGTGGACAAATTATAACACAGCACAATTTACCACTAACAACCAGACAGTACCAAAGCTTTTCGCTTTAGCACACAGGATGGGTCGCCAAAATGGTTGTCGGATAACTTCGTCTGACGTCAGTAAAACCTACCCCCTCCCATTCGCTTCGTCGTGACGACTGTCAGTACTGACGTCACGCAGTGTGCGGTCGCCGTCTCGCAAGCGTCAGCCGTATGGCGGCTTCTCTTTCTATTGAAATCGTTATCGAACTAAAACGTGTGGAAGTTGGCCTACGCCCGTTTGTAGGCAGCCCTCAATACAACCAATGCTTGCGACCCCCGCTTGTTTCCCGTACTGTACACAGTACGCAGACGGAGAAAATATATGGTCTTAAAATAGCTCGCCCACGCCTACATACTCAAATCAATTAGTTTATTTTCGTAGACTCGAAGTATTTTGATGTATTCTTTATTTTGTTTCGTGCGCTATTTTTGTTAAGTAAATGAAAATCCGACATTTCCACTAAAATAGTGATCAATTAATAGATTATTAAAAATTGCATATGCTTAAAGCGCCATCTACATCAGTCTCAAAATTTTGTACAAAGCATATTCGCTTAACATGTAATTTACTGTCACAGTCCTGTCAGATTGTTGTCCTTAAACTGTCGTCTTGCGCGGCTTTTTTTTTTCCTGGGCCCAAGCAAAAGTTGTAGCTACGCCCACGAGTGTGAATGCATTTATTTGTGATTTTGTTGTAAATAAAATAGCATATAGAATATAAATTATATATTTAGTGTATTAAATCATTACATTAAATGTTAAAAGCAAGAAACTCAATGACAATCAAAATGTGAGGGGGCTAATAATTTAACTCGGACCTCTAAACATACATAATTTGTTTCTTTTGTCATTTTATATTGCTTTAATATAATTACTATTACATCTATAATTAATGTAATAAATTGAGTGTTTATCAGCACATTAGAACCTTAAAAATTCTATTACCTATACAGTGTACAAAAAATAAATTATTTTAGTTATATTAAAAACAAAAATATATAAAATTTGCTTTGTTTGATCAATTGATGCCTATATTCTTTAAAAGCGTTGCAACATTTTAGTCTGTATTGCTCTGTATTTTTCAAATTTTTTTAAAACACTATCTAAGGGGAAATCTACCCTTTCAGAAAAAATCACCTGAATGAAAATTTAGAAATTTTTTCCCTGCGATTTATGTATTACCACATTTTTAAGGCCAGTTTATCAAAAGGGAAACGGAACAATTTTCTCTTAATAATAAACTACTAGTCCGTCTGAAGAGCCAGATTTGCACCCTCTTGTCGTTTAAAATTCAGCGAGTGGTGAATCATAAAATAGCACAGCTGCACGAATTCAACTAATAACTGCATAAGTACAATCTTAATTGCAACTAGCATACGACTGGAATGTTTCCAAATTAGCATCGTCTGTAAAATAGATTAAAATGTCTACCTACAAAAATATTCAATTGACCAAGAGATCACCTGGGCTGGGTCCTTCCGTTGATAAGTAAAAGTTTTCTTAGCTGGAGATTCGTGCACTATTCGATTAACACTAGATACTTCCAAACTTCGTAGCGAGATAAAAGATTTTGTGCAGATTTGAGCATAAGTCACAATAAATTTTTAAGAAGGTATACACATGATATGCCAATACCAGTCTTTAATATCAACGGATATCCCTAAAGTAGATACATTTGAGTATTCGAGATTGTTCAGTATTTCACAGTTTGATTATGTATTATAGTTAGAGCTAAGAACTTTTACTTTCAACCCAAAGTTTAACCATGGACAAGTAAGATAGCTTATTGCCGTAATTGCTTTTACGCCACATAACCTCACAATTAAAATTATTTAAACAGAGCTCAGCTCTCGATTTAAAAATTATTTCGCGTGAACATAAAACTGAAATCTGAAGTCGGTTAAACGTCCAATGGATGAAATTCACTATATACAGGGTGAATTTTAAATAGTTCTACCATTAAAGCGAATATCAAATGACACATTAAAAAGCGTCGACTCCCCTTCTTTATTAATACACAGGGCCATTTGTAGATTTAGACCAAAAATTCTTTGCGATACAATATTTGAATGGTTTGTTCAAATTCTCTAATTTTCTGGGGAAACTATACAGGGTGTTCCAGAAAGACCTCCCGTAAATACAGGGGGTGATAGTACGACAAAAAAATAAGAATTCTTTTTCTTATGAACTTATGATAAGATATCTTCTCTTGTTTTCGAGATACAGAGCGACAACATTTTTTAAATAGAATTTTTACTAAACTTTCCAAACGGTGTGAAATATTTTTATGAAATTTGGTATTCTGGGGTTTTTAAGGATGCCATATAAGCTGGTCTAATTATTTTTTGTATATTTCATAGAGGGCGCTAGTTATGGTATGCTACAATCCTATTACATTTTAAGTTCTAATTTTTCTAAGGTTAGGTTTTTTACTATTCGGGCTCGAATTTCTAATGTACAATTTTATTTTCTAAAAATAATGTACTCTTGTTAAAACTTCCTAATGTGGACAGTTTTCGAGGAAAAAGGCATTTAATTGAACTCTTACAATATTACGGTGTATAAAATAATTGACTTTTCTCAAAGTAGGCTTATGTCAAAACTTATTGATGGATGTAATTAGTCATTACTAACCACAGTCACTAACAATCACTAAAATTTTGGTATCAGGTTAATTAGAGTTTAAAATATTACTAAGAATGTATACTCTGTTTATGAGACATCCATCAATGTTTTAACATAAGCCTACTTTGAGAAAGTCATTTATTTTATACACTGTAATATTGTTTAATTAAAAGCCTTAAAAATTCTTACTTTTTGTCTAATTTTTGGTTGTTTTTATTTTTTGTTGTATTACCACCCCCTGTATTTACGGGAAGTCTTTCTGAAACACCCTGTATACTGTTGGCTGGCATTCAACTGACAGACATTCAGAATTTCCAGGACCGGTATTAAAAAATTTAATTAGAATGTTCTTTTCACAAAATTCACCCTGTACACGATTTTTTAATGTAACTCGGAATTTTAAAAGTATACAAATGGGAGGGTAACGAAAGTTACGTGTATGATATTTTTGTCACACTTTATTTGAATTTTTTATAAATATTAAGTTTTGACTAAAACTGAGAATTCGCCATAAAAACATTTTTAATAATAATTAGTTCTTGCTACAATTATATTATTACTTTAAAATTCCTTGTTACATTAAAAAACATTGCATGCATACAGGGTGAACTTTTTATATTGATTTTGCTGATTAAATTTTTTGAGACCAGTTCTGGAACTTCTGAATGTCTGAGAACGTAAGTCGACTGCTAGGGTATACACATCAAAAAATTTGAGAATTTGAAAAAACCGTTCAGATACTGTTTCGGAAACACTTTTTGGTCTGAATCTATAAATGTTCCTGTATATTAAAAAATAAGACATTTTATAACGGTCATTTTAATATTCCCCATATCACCTTCAAATAAAACCTTTTTCTTGAAACAAAATAAAATACTGTGATTTCTACCGAGGTAAAGTTTTAGAATTATCTTATATTTTTTTTTTGTACAGCACGATTTGCCACATTATTTTAGCGATACTTACTTAACCTAGTTAATTTTTATATAAACTAATGTTAGGTACCTAGATTTTAAAGAATATATTGATAAAGTGTTTATTGCACACGTTACAGAATGTATTTTCTTCAAAAATTGTACAAAGAGTGACTCCAAAAGCAGCCCGAAAATCGCCCATTTTGGCAAATTCGTATTTCGTTAAAAATTTTGTGCGAAATTATTGTATATCATTAGAATGCGTTGGCCAGAAAGTTCCAAGATGAGTTCAGCTTTGGTTTTGGAGATATGAGTAATAATAATACTCGCGATATTATGTATCGAGCATATCACTTTAAACCTTTAAGATTCACCGTTTTTAGATGGCCTATCATCAAGGTCAAGGTGGTTCCTTAGGTTTTTTGGGGTTGCTGATTAGAATCTGAAGACAGAATTTCAAAATTCAAGATGGCGGGGCCAATATGGCGGACAAAATTTTTGAAATTGAACCATCGATCAAATTGGGTATACAGGGGTTTTTGGGGTCGCTGACTACGAATCCGAGAGCAGATTTGCAAAATTCAAAATGGTGGATCCAAGCTAACGGTCTAAATTTTAAAAATCAAAAATTCACAAATTTTTTTTACCGATAGCTTGGATCCACCATTTTGAATTTTGCAAATCTGCTCTCGGATTCGTAACGTAGCGACCCCGAAAACCCCTGTATACCCAATTTGGTTCAATTTAAAAAATTTTGTCCGCCATCTTGAATTTTGAAATTCTGACTTCAGATGATTCCTAACTCATAAAACAGTGAATCTTAAAGGTTTAAAGGGATATGCTCAATACATATCTCCAAAACCAAACCTGAACTCGTCTTGGAACTTTCTCAGTAACACATTCTAATGATATACAATAATTTAGCACAAAATTTTTAACGAATTAAGAGTTTGCCAAAATGGGCGATTTTGGAGTCACTCTTGTTAAATTGCACCTTAAAGCAAATTTATCAGTTTACTCTCCATCACCGAATATTTTTCCATAAACGCGCCAAGTATGCAATGTTGTCTGTTGGGCAATACCCATTTTTATTATAAAACGTAAATCGGAAGAAATTCTTTTGATAAATGCAACTAAATAGATTTATAATTCCACATTTAGACTAGCTGAAAATTGCACTGCTCTTTTTAGCTTTAATATGTACAAATTCTTAGAAAATAGTTTTAACACGTATATAAAAAATATGTAAATAAAAATATATCCATTGGAAACTTTGATTTTTTTTTCGTGAATTGAAAATATTTCATTAACATTGTGAGGTTATGTTAATCGACCTAATGTTCCTTACGTAACTAAATCTAGATCATTACTTTCTCTTTTAATATCCTGCATGTCGTTCCACTTCTTAAAACACACCAGTAAGTAACTGAAACAAGAATGATCTAAGGGATTCTAAGATACCACAGTTAAACGAAATAAAAAAAAAAAAACTAACTAAGTATTCGATCACTCCTTCAGTGCGAGATAAATAAAATGTTTGTGTTTTGAACGATTCTTAAGGCAGGAATAACAGATTTAAGTGACGCTATTAAGTCTACATGTGGCGCCTTTTCAGGTTCGCGTTGTCAAACTGCGGCCCTGTCTGCCCCATGACCTCCGAAGGCGTGAACTCGTCAGACACATCGGAAGCGTGGTCTTTCTGCGGGTCGTTCTCTTGGCCCCCGGTGGGTGCTTTAGGTGACCCGGGGCATTCGTAGGCACTAACAGAGCTCGGGTTCCTCTTGTGTCCGACACCCTCGTGGTGTGGTTTTTCTTCGAATACTAAAAATTACACGGTATTGCAATGTAGGTCTCTGAAAATTTCAACAACTTACGTCTGTCTAAACTGATTATCGATCCAACGATTTCATTCGCCGTTATGACCTTGTCCTCGTCCAGTTGTTTACGTCGTCGAACCAGCCACCAATCCACCATAAATATACCTAGTGCGAGAATTTTTATTCCCGCGCATAGCCCGACGTAGCGATATCTAAATTGTTCTATATCGTATAAGAGACACCGCCCTCCTTTGGATCCGCAGGTACTTTTCCAAAGCAGGCACGTCGAGTCTATTAAGTTGCCAAACAGAATCGGGGCTGGGATATAACCGAACAGTCTAAATATCACAAATTGCATGCCGAGGGCAAACGATCTTTCTTCCTCGCTTACTGACCTAAAAGACCGACATTGTCGATTGGTTTTAAAATAATTTAAGAACGTCTCACCTTAATACTATCATAAGGAGAGGCATCTGCGTGACGGCCACTATAAACGTCATAAAGAATAACAGTATCAAAAATGGATATATCGTATGACAAGACGAGTTGCAAGGCCCGGCCGTCGCTACAGGTACAACGGTAACCTCGGCGTACTCGCTTTCCACTTGGGCGGCGTAGTTCAACGTGCTCGTCCCGTCTTTCAGTGACATATTTCCATGTATACCTACGGGGAAAAAAATTAAACAAAAATCAATCGATCGACGAAGGAAAGCTACTAACAGGCACAGTTGGTGTAATTAGAGCTGAGGATCGAGGTGCAGCCGGCATGGCACGGGCTGAAATACGTCAATCCGTTGTTCCCGCAAACAGGCTCCACGTCGTTCATGCTACACTCGCAACCGAAATTACAGGAGGATGTTAAATTGACTTGGAACGGCTGCGTGCTGTTGAAGTAGGGTATCGTGGTGCCCGCCATCTTCAGATTGTCGCAGCCCAGGAAAAATAACAGCCCGTAACACAGCAGACAAATCGCATTTGATATTAGGACGAACTGCACCGCTCCCTTCGGACGTAGCTCCATCTTTTTCAGGATCACGCCGCCCATGAAGATGCCTATGCACGCGCCAGGAATCGCGATAGACCCTGAAAAACGTTCGATAATATAATTGGGTTACATTAACCATTTTATATTATTATTACTTGCCTTGCCTCGCGGGCATATTGAATAAATAAGAAACTTTTTTTTAATACTTTATGAAGTCACGTAGTGAAAATATTAGAAACCTCTTAGAGATTGTTAATTAATAACACAGGCTGACAATTTTCAGAACCAGAATTCGGAGCTAGTGTACCCGAAGGATTTTGGTGCGCTGATTATGAATCCGAGCTCAGAATTGGTCCATCACCAGGTTCTCGAGATATTCTAACCTCAAAATGAAAAAATCGCGGTTTTTTGCTATATTCAGGGTCAGATTACAACGTGAATTAATTCACTCTTACCCTTCTAAGCGCACTTCGATTTTTTTCAAAATCTTTTTTTTCCATAGAGATATGATAGATTGAAATTTGGTACTTCAGCGATTTCGTTACATGGAAAATTTAGGTTAACCCGTCATGGATTTAACCCTTCCTGGTTATTGCGCATTTAGGTTAACGTGTCGTAGGTTACAGCGCATTATGATGAAACTTTTTTTAGGTTAGAAAATCTTGCTATATTGGGGTTATGGAGCAGGTCCCCTGGTGTTTTCAAATTTAGCGACTCTATATCTCGTTTTTGGATAAATTTAGTTTATTTTCATGTTGTAACGGAATCGCTGAAGTACTAAACTTCAAATCTATCATACCTCTATGGAAAAAAATATTTTCAAAAAAATCGAGGAGCGCTTAGAAGGGTACGAGTGGTACTTTCAGATGGTTTAACGCGATTTTAGAAAAAAAAATTCACATAATCTGACCCCGAATATAACGAAAAATCGCGATTTTTCCACTTTGAGGTTAGAATATCTCAAGAACCTAGGGTGATGGGCCAATTCTGAGCTCGGATTCGTAATCAGCGCACCAAAATCCTTCGGGTACCCTAGATCCGTTCTCAGGTTCTGAACTTTCGTAAAATTTTGTCGGCCTGTGTAATTATTAAGGTTTGACGAGCCAAATAAATATTTTAAACGTGCGTTTCTTTAGGTTAGGTAGGTAGCATTAAACAAATTAATTATTTTACCACTTTTAATTATTGTCGGTTATAAAAGCTCTAAGAGATATTAAAGAGTGACCCTAAATTTCGCCCGTTTCGTCGACCTCACGAATTCGATTCAAAAGTGGTCTAAATAATAGCTTGTGAATACTCTAGAGTATTTTGCTTACATTAAACTATAACTATATGCTATTATTTAGACCACTTTTCAAATGAATTCTTGAGGTCAACAAAACGGGCGAAAAATAGGAGTTTTTTTGGTCACTCTTTTCATGCAAGTTGCCTATTAGTAAAAAATGAACGCAAGACTGTCGACCGTAAAGAAAATGTTAATTCCTTAAAAATAGATAATTTGGTGACGGAATTAGTTAATTTAAATCAGTGATTTGTTTCTTATTTATTTTACTTGTATGACGTCACTAAGCAAAAAATTAGGAAAACCAATAAAACGTAGTTAGCATATTAAGAAGGCTCTATAGCAAATAGGCAACCAGTAATACATTTTTATAGTTTTATTACACCGTTTGTCTAAATATGAATTAATTCACAAATAATAGACTGTCCTCCATTCTAACGTAGATTTTCTATAAAATGGAGTTTGAAACTCAAATTACTTTTTGTTGTAAAGAAATTTGTAATTTGCCGCTTTTGATCAAAAAGTAATTTTGCCAACTAAGTCCATTTCATAGAAAATCTGCGTTAGAATGGGAGAAAGTTTGTTATTTGTGCATTAATTCACATTTAGACAAACTGTGTGAAATCTAGAAAAATGTGTTGCTGGTTGCCTATTTGCTATACAGCCCTCTTGTCTATAGAAAATAGGCAACCAGTAATACATTTTTATAGTTTTATTACCCCGTTTGTCTAAATATGAATTAATTCTCAAATAATAGACTGTCCTCTATTCTAACGTAGATTTTCTATAAAATGGAGTTTGTTTGAAACTCAAATTACTTTTTGTTGTAAAGAAATTTGTAATTTGCCGCTTTTGAACAAAAAGTAATTTTGCAAACCAAGTCCATTTCATAGAAAATCTGCGTTAGAATGGGAGAAAGTCTGTTATTTGTGCATTAATTCACATTTAGACAAACTGTGTAAAATCTAGAAAAATGTATTGCTGGTTGCCTATTTGCTATACAGCCCTGTTAATGTGACACAACTGTTAACGAATTCTACATCGATTTTTTATGTAGGACTGTATAAATCCAATATTTCCAAAAAATTCGATGTGTAGTAGAACTAATGTCCATTCGACGAAGGTAGTTCACTTTCAAGGTTATCTCAAGGTTAGCTCGTTTTTTTACGGTAATACAATTTTTGTCACCGGGTTCTGTAAAAGCAAGAAATTTTCTATTCGGAGACTAAAACGTTGTACGGGGTTAGTCACTATAATCTGACAACTCATTGTTAGTTTATTATTGAAATTACAAAAAAGTTTTTAATACAAAAGTTTTAGATTTTTTTATGAATTTTTATAATACAGAATTGGAAAAAATAATTGAATAATGGAAATCACTAAATTAAAGAAATTTTTTTTAAATGGAACACCCTATATAGTGCATTCTTAACTTCGTTAAATTTTTCTCTTGTTTGATTCAGGACTTTTTGACACATTCCAGGTTAAAACTGTTTTTGAAAAAAACAGTAGGGAAAGTTCTGTCTGACGGATCGCAGTGGCTATGGACTAGGCACGCGGAACAAACAAATGACTTTGACAGAAGTTTATTTATCATCGTTAATTTGCTTCCTAAACAAACTATTTTAACAAGAGAAAAATTTAACGAACCTAAGTATGCACTAATATATAGGGTGTTCCATTTAAAAAAAGATTTTTTCTTTAATTTAGTGATTTCCAATATTCAATTGTTTTTTCTAATACTGTATTATAAAAATTCAAAAAAAAGTTAAACCTTTTTGTAGTGACTAACCCCGTACAATGGAATTTTGCTTAATGGCGTCACGACGTATATTTTAATTTCTTTTTTTTTGACTTACGGGTCCAATTTTAACCTATTCTCGTTTTGTGGTGTGGTTATAGGATTGCAATTACCTGTAAATACACTGGCTTGGCTCTTTCCCAAACTGAACTGAGTTTCTAGATACTTCGGTAAAAATACGACGAAACCAGACACAATGATAAGCTCCATACAAGCTCCTAGACACGTAACAATATACACGGGATTGCTAGCTAACCTCCACATGGACATGGGGATATCTAGAACAACTTTCTGTTATAAAACCTATACATGACATTTCAATAATCGTTTCATCGTTTAAAATATTATTTCACCTTTCACGTCTTTTCCATATCCGGTGTCGTTCTTCGTCGAGCTGGTACTAACGATCTTGGTTGCGGTTGCGGTGTTGTTTGCGTTGCTAGTGCCAGCGCCGTTAGCGGCAGCCGCTTTTTCCATGAGCCTGATCTTCTCCTTTTCGTGCGTAAGCACCTTAGGGAAAGAAAAAAACGGCATCGATACCGTTATAAGTAGCAGTCCGCCTAGAAGAAAACCTCCCCACCACATCCCCACCCATCTGCTGTCGCCCGCATCTAGGAAGGGTATTTTAGTCCGACTGTAACGGTTATTATAGAATTTTCTTACCGATTGATATGATTTGTGTGAAAGAATCCATGTGGAATGATAAGAGATAGGCACCTAGTAAGAATCCCAGTACCGGCCCAAAAGCTGCCATGCTGTACATACAACCTGTAATGGAATTCGATTAAACAACTTATCCCTCCGATTATACGGGGAACCTACCTATGTAAATAGATGAACTTTCCGGTCTGACGTGATCGTCAATGTACGTAGTGCCTAAAGTAAACAAAGGAGATCCGCCACATCCTAATAATAATTGTGCAAGAACAAAAAGCAATACGGGTCCAGTGGTGGAGGGCGTACCCTGAATACAATTATCCCCCCTCAGGTTGTTGGGGGCGAGGGGCGGCGAAGACAATCCGGAAGATAGCCTCCCCAGACCCATGTCTTGTTCGTGTACCGACACTACGCGACACATGTTCTCATCCGTCGTATTGGCGACGGTTATTCCGTTGTTCTCCTCGGCTATGAAGTGGGGCACCATGAAGATCAGGGATCCGACCCCCATTATGACTGCCCCCACCCCTATCCACACGGGGATGTGTCTTCTACTTCCGAGATAACTTACAAATATAACAGTTATCACATTTCCGATTTCATAAGATGACGCCACTAGGCCCGAGAGGCTTGATGGTATTTCAAAACGTTTTTCAATTGTTGTTATCACAGAATTGATATATCCAGAACTTAGGGCTTGTTGCAAGGTAACAAGGAATGACAAGAGTAGAACAAAAAACTGAAACAATAAGACAATAACATGCCACACCTACCAGCGCATAAAGTTTTCTGATATTTCCACGTTGTTCCTTTAGGTTCAAAGTAGGGGTGGTTTTTAATCTTTTTTTTTTTTAAAGAAATAATATTTTAAAACGTTATACAATGAATTAAATTAATTTTCAAGAAAAGGAGGTACAGTGGAACCTCGATAAGCCGAACTAATTGGGACCTTACATAGTTTGGATTATCAAAAAGTGTGGAATATCAAACACTGCTCACAGGAATGCAGTAAGTTCAGGTTTCAGTAATTTAACGATCGAAACTGATCACAATCAAAATAAAAATGGCCTGAACAGATACACTATTCTGTTTGCGCGGTGACTTTACGCCGTTCAGATTAGTGAAGGTTTCGGATTGCCGGCATTCGGATCATCCAGGTTCTACTGTACTTCATATTTATGGGCTTCAGGACTTGTAAGATAACAAAGGATGGCAAGAGTGGAACAAAAAACTGAAAAAAGCTAAGATAATAATACGCCACACCGTCTCACGCATAACCTTTTCTGATGTTTTCTCAATCTTCCTTAAAGTTCGAAGTAGGGTTGGTTTTTCATCTCATATTCGAATTGTTTAATCCAATCTAATAAATAATGTTTTAAAAGATTGTAGGAAGCATTAAATTTATTTTTTAAGCATTTTTTAAGAACGGCAAGTAAGCAGAACCTCGATAATCCGAAGTAACTGGTACCGAAGGTACTTCGGACTACTAACTTTTAAAAAATCCTTATAGTTTCCGAGAAAAAAATTATTGAAGTTGCACTACTTTCAAGCATTACATCGCTGGACAACTGTAGTCTCTAGCGCCATTCGCAATACGCGTGGAGAGCCACGTGGCCTCGGCGACTCCGAATACTGAAATCCGATTTTACAATCGTCGCGAAAGTGTTTACAATAGTTTTTTTAGTAGTTAGTGTCAAAAATGCGTGTATAGCAACTCGGAGCTGATGGATATCGTTTTAATTAGTGGTGAAGCAAGACAATATTTGTATTTTTATATAATTTTATTAATTAATAATAACAATGGCGGCAAAAGCAGTTGAAATTGCTGATATAAAATAGGTGCTATTAAATTCTATTTATTCCTTTCGTTGCGAAATTCTTTCAAGATTTTGTTCGTTTTTATCACACTTTACCGCCATGTCCGTCGCATTGAACGAGGTCAGGTTTTACAGTGGACCAGTTTCCAGTGATGCGCAGAAGTGTATTTTTAAATCATTTCCGAACTGCCCTTTTTAATTTTTTCTTTACAAAATTGTATTTGTAAGAGTACATTTTTTGGATAAGTTCTCAATCACCCTGTATATTTACATATTATGCATGGCAGGCAGCTTCGTGTTTTACGTCGTTCGGATTAGTGGAGGGTGCGGATTATCTGCATTCGGATTATCGAGGTTCTACTGTACTTCACGTTTCAGTGTTCAGGACTTGAAAGATAACAAGAAATGACAAGAGTAGAACAAAATACTGAAATAATAACACGCCACGCCTTCCCACACATAAGATATTTCCACACTGTTCCATGACGTTCAAAGAAGGAATGGTTTTTTAGTCATTTTTAGATTTTTTTTATGACAAAAACAATAAGTACTTGCCATTTCAGTTCATGAAACTAGTAGCTAGGATTAAAAATTTCTCTACGGTGTAGGTATATGAAGAAAGCTCGTTCATTGCCATAATTTAATTTCTAATATGTCGGTAGAGAAAACCAAATTTAAGCAATGCCATAAATTACATAACGCAGAAACAGTGGTACTGGGAAAATGTTAATTTTATTTTGGAGAAAGTGTATAAAATTTTGAATATGCCAAATCCTTTATAAATATTAATTGACCCCTTAATATGGAAGATTCACTTTCTTCCGTTAATTAGTGTTTTAATAATACAAGCAGCAATTTGTTACTTCACAATTTTACGATTCACGCGCAAGAAATAACAATGTCATTGTGTCATCCTTGTCCTGACAATGCGTTTGTAACATTGAGATAATTTCAAATATTTCATAGTGAAATTATTCAGTTAACTATTACTCAGAGAATTCCTAAAATTTGAGTCAATATTAAAAATATCGAGCTTTAATTGTATTGACCCACTTGTAATGTGTAATAGGCAAAGATTAGATATTATTTGTAATAGTTTTAGTCATGTACAGATACCAACTGCACTGCACATGTAAATTCTGGACTGAGGAACCAACTGCACGTATTCTTACGACCCTATAAGATACTTCGTAATGAATCAATGTATACCTTAATCCCAGCACACTTCTGGAGACAAGACGGTCGGCACCGAAGTATGCCACACTCCTTTGAATCCCTTAGTATCACAGGTGGTTCAGTATATGTAGCGGTGTGGGCAGCCTTATCCCTGTCGAAGCTAGCAGAGGGATTTCGGCTGTGGCACTTGATGACGGTGTCATGGCAGAACGTCGTCGAGCATTTCGTTTCCGTCGGTTCCGCCTGCTCTGGGATCGTTTCCGAGTACAAGCCCGTCATCGCGTACATGGACTCCTGCCTCCGGTGACCCTTGCAGTGGCCCCCCTGGCTCGCCGAGCTCGACGTGGACGCTCCGTGGGTCGTCTCGCCGTTCGGGGTGGTCACGGTTCCGTTGCCGGTCATTTTTTTTTGTAGTCCTTCGCGTGTGGATTTCAGAAAATTGTTACATCGTTTCTCTGCCAAGGCATCTGCAAACGAACAGTTGTTTTTTCTCTTAACTATGAAATATGGGGGTTCGAAAAAGCGTATATGGCTTTATTTTATGAAAAAAAAAGGACAAAGAAGTAAAATAGGTGTTTTCGCAACGCGTTGCTGTGGTGCTTCCGGATTTGGTGTGAAAACGCCAGTTCCAAGGTCGAATTTTAACTAATCTAATTAGTACTTGCTCGTTACCGGAGTTTTGGGTGTTAAGGTTCCAGTTGGGTGAACTGCGGTGAAATAATAATGCGGTGGACTACAAAAACGGATTGTCACTTTGACGCATTGGTTTCTAATAAATACTAACGCGGTTTCTTTGGAAATAAATACGCAAATACGAAAGCTCCACACAACTGCATTTTTTCCTGAGAAAAACGAATTAATATAATATTGATTTTTTGTGATACTGTAAAGTGTTTTAAACTTTTTCAGCCTTTCATAATGAAATAACTTCGTGGCCTTAACCTTGTCCCCGCTCGCCTTGAATCTATAAAAGTCACCGCAATATTTGAAATTGGCGTATAAATAATAAAACGGGATCTACAATACTGCAGTACACCTGATGTTTTACTTTCCAGGTTATTAAGTTAATACACGGAACTCCTTTGCTGTAGTAGATGCAGGCGAGATATTTTTAATTTTTACCCCATCCTTCACACTGACGCGGACATATGACAGTTTATTATTGATGAGGCATTGATTGGTTCTTAAAAATACATCGGCCCGATTCAATTTATCCGCTGCTTCCTCCTTCCAAGTAAACGAGAATGAGGAAATTTATAATTGTTTTTCGTGACAAAATTCATACATTTTTAAATTTGTTCAGCGTTTTAAAGGCTTTAACAATTATATGTGGCGACCCGGGTTATCGAACACGTCCCATTCAAAAGTGTAAGACTGAGTCAATAAAGAAATTATTTTCCTAAACACCGCAAGGCTATAAATAGACGGCGGTTTTTGTCGCGCTCAAAATAAAGAGATAAAACACCCCCAGGTAATTATAATCTTGAATGAAAACACCTATCGATCGCGCTTTTATTGCGTATCTTAATTTTAGCGAACAAAAACCTCCCCTGCATCGACGGTATTTTTTTTTGTCCCCATGACGTAGAAATACCGGCTCATCGCACCGGCCTTGACCAAAATTTCGTTCGGAACCAAAGTTTACCTATTAATAGGGGTAGTTTTCACTTTAGCATCGATTTATACTCGAATCGATCAGGGTGTGAAAATACGAGGTGGATACCGATAAGAATAATAACACACTAAACAAGGTAGGGTTGATTTTTTTTTTTTTTGGAGATAACTTTGTTTTCGCGTTCCTTTCTGTTTTTGCCTGCGAAAGGATGTTTTGTGTTTGGTGTTAATAAGTACAGTAACCTCTTGTTTCATCAAGAAGGTCAATTGGGTCTCAACCCGAGCTAAATTTCCCACTCAATGACGAGCGAAACGCAACACCTAGAGATGTTATACGGCAAGAGTGGACGTTTGCTCGCAGGCTCCGTTCTGGAAAGAAAAGATAAAAAGGAGAGCGCTCACTCAACACTTTTTAAATAAGCTACATTTTTCCGCGTGATTCATACAATCAGGTGCTTCGACTAGAGAAACATTTTTCTGATAAACAAAGATACGTACCTATGCGTAGGCCGATAAAATAGTTTATGATTCATTTCTATAGTTTTTAAAATTATTGTTATAACACTTATAACCGTTATGTGCGGAATTACAAAGATTTATACAGGGTGTCCCAGAATAACGTGTACAACGGAATACCACAGATTCGTGGCCTCAAGTTTTGTAAATAACTCGAATAGGTATTAATCGATTTTGATTATTTTTTGGAATGTGGACTTTTATTTTCAATCTACTCATGTTCCTGTTATACAGAGTGTATTATCCGTTCATAACTCTTTCCTCTTTCGGGCAATAATGACAACTATTTTTCATTAGATGGATGATACCATATGGAAGTTTTTGGGCCTCTTATAGAATTTTTATTAAATTAGCGGTTTGGGTACAAAAAAATATTTTAGGCCAGGCGGATTTGTCGAAATATCCCACTTCTTGGATATAAGAGAGGGCATGCTAATTTTTGCTGGAATACATTCAGTACAACTCACATAATAAAAGTGTAGATCACTAGATCTGGGCGAGGTCCCGAACATTTTCAAAATTACAAAAATGTTTAAAAAATTTAAAAAATACCTGTTTTATCTGAGTTTTTTTCTTATATCTTGGAACCTATGCATTTTGGAAGAATATTGAAGAGGAAAAAAGTTTTAGAAATGAATTTTGCACAATATACTGTGAAGTTAAAAATGTTTAAATTTATTTCCGATGTTGCAAAATACAATAATTGATGAAAAAAGGGCAAAATAATCGATGTTGTTTCATCAATTGGATCTTTAATTTCCTTAGTAAGAGTAACACTATTAATTTATATTTTTTGAGAAGCCTTAGCTGTTCAACGTAAAAGACTTTCTTCCACTAGAATAGTAACTTCTATTGAATGATTACAACATTTTCCACCAGCGTTTTTTTGGATAATTCTTTTTAAATATTTTAATTGCTCCGAGGGCATTCTAATTTTGGTAAAAAAAACTTTAGAGTATAATAAAACAATTTCATTAGAATCGGTTCCATAGTTTTCGCAAAATAATTTTTCGAATTTTCAAAATGTTGCACAGCCGCAAATAAAGCATCAGATATTTGAAAATTTTTTCACATAGAAAAGACCGCTCAACCTTTCAAATGGTTTTTGAAAAATTGAAATCGGTGGATTAGGACGGCCACAGTAAATTTTTAAAGTTAACACTCTTTTTTTTATTTTTAAACAATTACGATTACATTTATCAATTTGCAATTTAGTTTTAGTGAAATGTGGTGGAGCGCCATCATGTATAAACCACATAGCTGTGAGTAATAACGGCACATCTTCCAATAACTCAGATTTTGCAAAAATTCTAAATAAAATTCCCTATTCAGTCCATTGGGTAGAATAACAATAATATTGCTATCCCAAACAAGACCAAACTGAAAGTCAACCTATAAAATCAGAGCCTACTAGCACTTTGTATTGTAATATGGGTGGCAAGATAATGTATACATTTAAAAAATATTTTTTTGTACCCAGACTGCTCATTTAATCAAAATTCTGCAAGAGTCCCAAAATCTTCCAAATGATATCACCTATCAAATAACAAATAGTTGTTATACATCAATTTTGTAGGAGTTGTAAGTTTTAAAAAACACTGTATAACACCAAAATGTGTAGATTGAAAGCAGAAGTCCACACTCCAAAAATAATACGTATTGGAGTAATTTACAAAATTCAAAAAATTTTCACGAACTTTGAGGCCATCTAACGAGTAAACGAAGCGATTTTGGATATATGTGAATTAGCCTAAATCTGCCTATTCTGAGTCCACGAATTTGTGGTCTTCCATTGTACACATTATTCTGGGACACCCTGTATAAGTACGCTACATCTGCTAGATAAATACGCTAAAATTATATAAATTTATGATCATTTATGACTGGTCAGCAATCACCTTTCGTTGATATACGCTAAGTTCGACTAATTTTAGATTTGAAGACATCCAGTATATAAAAGTTTGGTTAAAATATGTCGTATATGTATAAGAACATTTTATTTTATTTACTTTTTATTCCCTATACCGCATAATTGTGTGCGGTATTTCTTATTTACTTTATTTTAAAGATTTGCTTAAAATATCTAACACGAATTTCGTCATTTTTTCTTACTTTCGATAATTTTATTCGAAACATAGGTACAAAATATAGTAATTACATACAAAGTTAGTTGAAAAGAGGTAAATGGAAATGAAAATGAAAATATACGATTTTTTTTATATTTAGCACTCAATTAAGACTGGCATTTTATAGACAAGACATCGGAATTCGAATAAGACAATGATAGATCTAAACTATAAAAATGTAGAAATACAAGGATTCCTTTCATTTTTCGCATAACATTTTGCCAATAATGTGACGTCTCTAGAAGGATTTTTGAACTGAAATAAACAAATAAAAAAGCAATCGGCATTTTGGGTAACGATCCTGCTTGGTTAAAAGCAATTTGAAACGTTTTTATTTTGAAATGTTTTCTGTATAGCCTTTTTCGTATAAAATATTAAGACGAATTTAATTAATCACCAATGTTTATTAAACATTACGTACATTTTGATAAGATTAGGAAGTGCCTGATTTATAACAGCAGTTCTTGTAAGCATTGAGTACTCTTTGTCCCTCCTAGAGATCTTGCATTACTAAAGGTTACCTGTTTGAAGAAGGTATATAGTAGAGTGCCCGCTTTAATTTATTTTCACTTCTGTGGGCGTCGCGGGGTTACAAGCTGAATTATATATAAAATTGAAGCTTATATCTTACTGAATCGGAAACCAAAGGTAATAAAAAAATAACGCGGGCAGAAGGGCAGTAAAATCAAAAAACGAGTTATGACCACGGGCGGATAATACAGCACATTGGCTATAATTCTATATAAAAATCAACTTATATTTTGTACAGCATATATTCTTTATTAATTTTTGAAAGTTGCTCTTAACGTTGAGTCTTATGGCAGAATAAATTTTTAAACTGGAATATCTCGCTTCGAACACGTCGAAAATCTTACTTAAATTCAACATTTTTTTAGTTCCCACGCCATTTACCGGAAAACGGAGGCCTTAATCGAAAAATTTTACTCTTGCAAAAAGTTTATTTCATCAATTTGAAAGACAACAGCGTTTAATTCAAAATTTTTGCTTCAATAATAAACAATATATGAATAAAAATACAAAATAAATCATTTTCGACCGGCCGGCGGACGGCTGGCTACTTCGCTTCCCCACTTCGCCAAAGTTGAATCTGTCTCACAAATCTTCATAGCTCCATCTCGTACTGTATTACATTTTATTTTAATATTTCTTATCTTACCGGAATTTTAGGTGTGCCTTTTTGTAGCGGTTTTCGTATGTGTTTATATTTTCAAAAATATAGTTTTGTGGGTGAATGCATATAACGAGTTCAGTACCTAACCTGGTTAAAATCTTAATTTTTCACTTTTTAAAAAACTGAAACACATAGTGGTTGGCGTTTAGTGTTGTAAACAAGGATAATCTAAGTGAGAAATTTTACTTTAGTTAACTGTAGGGAATTCCACATTCCAATTATAGATTTTTTATCAGAATTTAGCACTGCACGAAATGAAACGTTCTACAACTGATAGTACTAGTTCTGAGAACGAAATCGGCTTACATGTAAAATTCAAAACGCAAAAACGCAAAAAATGTATAATATGTAAAAAAATTGGAGGTATTATAATCGAATCAACGGATAAAACTTCCTTTACTTTTATGAATTCCACTAACAATAAGATTCGGAATGATATAAACAAAGAGGTAGATGAGGACATACAAAAAGTGTGATTGTTGATGGTAAAACTGGTAAAATTGTTTGGCATAAAATGTGTTATATTGCCTATACGAACAAACAAAATATTGAAAGTTTAAGGAAAAGAGTGGAAAGACTGAAAGAGTACAGAGTAGCTGGTATTGAACCTCCACCACTTCCTGGTAGATCACTTCGTAAGGGTGGCTTTCACATAAATAAATGTGTATTTTGCTAGAAGCTATCTCCTGGGAAGAGATTATCCCAAGTTATGTCTAAAAATATAGAAACTAAAGTAAAAACATTGCATCGATCTCTTCAGAAGTTTTAGAAAGAATAGGCTCCAATGATTTAATAGCAATGGAGGTAAAATATCATGTGAATTGCCTAATGACAGAATAGAATAAAAAAATTGGGAAAACAATTGGGTAAACCACAAACACTTAAATGGAATTGGTACGGATGATTTTTCAGAAAATATGTTCGAGGATATTCAGATCATTATTATAAAACTATATTAAAAAATCATAATATTACGTCAGTAAACACTTTAAGAGGTTTGTTAGCATCGTCTTCAACAATTGCAAATCTGCTTCCGACTGAAGATACTTTGCGATTCCATTATTTGAGGACCTATTATCAGTCAATTGTTTAGAACTCTGTCCAAAATTGCTTTGTATTGCCGACTGTGGATAGAAAAATTGATAAAGACATTTGAACGTTCTTCATGTGGATGCAAAAAGGTAAGATAATAAGTAGCAACCATTTTTCTAGTAATAAAATTTAAATTTTCCTTAGATTGTGGAAGCAAGGTTTGCATTTACAAGAAAAGTAATATGGGTTGAATTTGGTCCTGTAAAAACATGGCTCAAAATCTTGCAAAAAGTTCGATGAGAAACGTGACTTGGATAAATAGTGTTTTTTATCTGTTAGTCATGTTCCTAATTGTTAATAAAAAGGACCTTTTTTATATATGTATTTTATATACAGGGTCTCCGGTTCATGTTTCAAAAAAAACTTGTGTGCAAGTTCCTCATGGGAAAATAATAGGAGTAGTTCATGTGAGTTTACAGAACCGTTTAGAAATGTAATAAATATTGTCTTTTAACATATTTTTTTTTCTATTGTAGATACCCCTGCAATTACCTGTATTGGCGACACTTCTTTTCAGAAAGAAACAGCTTGCACATTATTATTGTTAACGCACAGTAGATATTTATTCGTCTACAAATTTTGATATTTTTATCTTTAGCCGATTTAAAGATAATTAAGAAAAACCATTCGGAAAGTAACAACTTCAACACACTGTATCTCGAAAACAGGGCGTCTAAGAAAAAAACTTTACATGAACTATCCTTATTGTTTTTCCATGAGGAACTTGCACACAAGTTGAACATGAACGGGACACCCTGTATATATTTATTAACTTTTAAATCTAATTATTAAAATATCGTATTTTAAATCTGTAGAAGTGAGACATGATTTATTTTACTAATTTTGCATATATTTTTAAAATTTGTATGTAGTAGGGTTATCACTACTGACTCGTACGTATCGAAGTAATACGAAATGGAGCTATGGAGATTTGTGAGACAGATGCGATTGTGGCGGAGTGGGGACGCGAAGCAGCCAGCCGTCCGCCGGCCGTTCGAAAAATGACTTGTTCTGTATTTTTATTCATATCTTGTTTATTATTGAAGCAAAAATTCTGAATTATACGCTGTTGTCTTTCAAATTGGTGACAGAAACTTTTTGCAAGAGTAAAATTTTTCAATTAAAGCCTCCGTTTTCCGGTAAATAGCGTGGGAACTAAAAAAATGTTGAATTTCAGTAAGATTTTCGACGTGTTCGAACCGAGATATTCAAGTTAAAAATTTATTCTGCCATAAGACTCAACGTTAAGAGCAACTTTCAAAAATTGATAAAAAATATATGCTGTACAAAATATAAGTTGATTTTTATATAGAATTATAGCCAATATACTGTATTATCCGCCCGTGGTGATAACTCGTTTTTTGATTTTACTGCCCTTCTGCCCGCGTTATTTTTTTATTACCTTCGGATTCTGATTCAGTAACATATAAGCTTCAATTTTATGCATAATTCAGCTTGTAACCCCGAGACGCCCACAGAATTGATTTTTAAGCATATTTAACGCTGCCGGGCACTCTACTAATAAAGGTACAGAGATCTTCATCACTTGACGAATGTCTTAATTACTCCTAATTTGTACAAATGAATGATTTTTAGTTATCAAACGAAATCATAGTGCATCAAAGTTATCTTAAGCGTACAGTATCAAGGATAAGTAAAATGGGAATTAATATCTATAAAAAAAATAAATTAATTCAAATTCTCCCAATTGTGAGAAAATCTTTTTATTTGGATCGGTGCACCTGTGCGTTGTTATGTTACCTACGAAAAAATTGATTTTGTACGGTGCTTTGTAGAAGTACAACAATTATGAAATTAATGCTCATTGTGGGGATCGTGACGAGTTACATAAAAAATTGTTTCATTCTTACGGTCGTTACGTATGTATTGTTTACACCAATACTTCACGGTTTGGGAGCACTATTTGTTTAAAGCGAGTAAAATGGGGTTCGGTTTGTAACAATTTTTCCCCAAGTGCACGAACCAATCCAACTTTGACAGCTGACAAACAATTAGTAAACATTGTTAAGTTGTAAAATAAAACTAGATAAATAGAATTTTTCGATTACATTTATTCGTCGATGATGATATTTATTAAGAAAACAGCTTTCGTTGCAATGGTTGTTATTAAACGTAAAGTCGTTATTATCGGGTGAATCTTCGAGCCGCGGTATCGATGTTTAATATTTTCTTTCGGGTTCGCCTGGCATAATATCGGTTAAAAATAGCGATTGTACGTGAAGTGGCAAAAAGAAAGGTGCGTTCTCTAGTCGATTGTGTCACTATTACATGTACCACATTACAATAATTTTGGCAATACCAAACGCAGGCCGTGGTAAAAATAAGCAAGCGGGACTGGTTAAAAATAAACAAAAATACGGCCTTTATGGAACGACCAACAAAAACTGCAAGAATACTCACTATCGGGAGGTCAACGCTTCACTGTACCCTTCTACATGCTTCAGGGAAAAAAATATAAAATTCGTTTTTGTATCACAACCCGGGAAAAATCACAGCACTCGATTTGATCATTTTTTTTCTAGTTCATTTAGAAACGGCAGCAGCAAAATGATATTTAGATTACTCCAGATGCCACAACACGGGAGGGCACATGCACTAAAACACAGCTGTGTGCTGTCAGTGCCAGATCCAACCAACACCGAATCTTTCTGCACCCATCGCAGGGGCAACAACACGAATCAGCTTACCCTTACCAAACCGCAAAACGTAACTCGCAGAAACCTACTAAATAAAACTTCGAACGCGAGAGGTTTCGTTGCACTCGACGTTCTCCGCGGATTGGTTGTGCTACTGACGCGCAGATGGCGCCAGCGGCCGCCTAGACATTTTAAAATTGGAATGTACCTCTCTCCTGTCCTGTTTACTTATTTTCACCTAGTTTACGAAAATTGATAAGACAAACCTTTGAAACTTGATTAGCTCGATAACCTCACTGAAAATTTAGAAGAATGTGCGTAGCTACCTATTTGTAAATCCGACTGTATCTAATAATGACCCCACCGCCTCAGATAAGTGTGTACTTGCTTTTTGAGGTATGTCAGTATAAGTACCTAGATTCCAGGGATGCTCCCAGGAGGTTAAGATATTTGAATTTACATAATTTACATAATTAACATAAAACTCAAATTTCGAATTTTTTGTTGTTGCAGATGAAGAGTCCTTTTTTATTTCGCCGCATGGAGTGGTAGCAGATTTGGATCCTGTAGATTAAAACGTTTTCCAATTTCTTCCATATCGTATCCTCTTTATTATTATTTCATTCCATAATAATTTTCCTTAAATCCTAAATCAACATTTTTCCGTTTGTTTTATCATTTTCGCGGTTGGCATTCTAAAATAGAAAATACTAATCGACTGACTCCGCCTCCACGGTATATTGGTGTGATAACGAAGCGGTTTATAAAAGTCGCATCCGTGCCGGGATTAGAATTTAATTAATATCTGAATAAAATATAATACCATTGTTTAATCAGAGCGCATTTCGATATCCCGTTATTAAGAGGAAATATGAGCTTTTGGCTTCAGCAAATCGGTTATCTTAATTATTTTACCTGTACAAATAATATCAGATGCTTGCTAGGCTTTATTAATATACACATGAGAGGTTTATAAATAATCGAATACTTCCATAAATTAGCAGTGCACTGGCTACCGTTATAAACAATATTAATTTTACTGCTTGATAAATATCGCTTTATTATTCTAATTTGTCTCAATCATAAAACCATAATCCGATAAAATGTATTTTCCGACATTGTCATTTTAACGGGTATTAAAAATGATACAAGTTTAACCTACAGAATACCATACGGCGACTATTTTTAAGCTTGGTTCTGAATTTAAAATAAAACAAAATAAAATAAACACCTTTAATAATTGCGAATCATCGATTTTTGCCTCACTTTTGAACATCGAAAAACTTGTCAAAATCAGTATAAGGTCACCTAGTCATATTCTAAATGAGAGAAAACACATAATTTAAAAGATGCAGCTCCATATGACGAAGGATTTTTTAAAAAACAAACATCATCGATTTTTGCCTCGCTTTTGAACGTCGAAAACCGTCGCTCTATTTATTTTTAATATTCCTTGTTGTCAAAATCAGTATAAGGTCACCTAGTCATATTCTAAATGAAAGAAAACACATGATTTAAAAAACGCACATGAGTCTCTCGTTTTTTGTTTTCGAGATACACAGCGTCTTTTATTTTCCAAAAAGCAACATAACGTACTGAAATTTGGTCCGGGTAAGTTTTCAAGGGTGCTAAATGAGTTAATGTTGTTAGTTTTGGACTATCTGTTAGAGGTCGCTGGTTACGACCTTATCCAGTGATATTATATGACATGTTTTTGAGGTTAGGTTTCTTACGGTGCTTGTAGTATATTACAATGGAAAAAAACGCAATCCCAGTCAGTTGCGTTTTTCTCACAAACGGTGTGATATCAGCGGCTTCAATAAGAGTGCCGGTTTTAGGTATAATGAAATTTTACGTGATAAAACGGCAAAGAAAGAAACCTAACCTCAAAATCGTAAAGGAGAGTCGTAGCTATCGCCCTCTAGTAGATGATCAAAAACTAATGAAAAAATGTTGAAATTTCAGTGCAGTATATTGTTTTTTTGAAAAGATATGCCTAAAATTTTATTTAAAAACAGTATTTGAGGCTCTGCACGCAAAAAAATGGTAATTATTTACTATAGTGGCACCCTCTCCAATTTTCACGAAATTTTATATACCCCCCTATTTTCGATGGTGCTGAACACGAATCTGAAGTGTTTTTTGTTCGGTCGAACCTAGTTTTCGAGAAAAAATTTTTTCAAAATTCTACTCTGGATATTTCAGATAACACTACGTAGAACTCTGTATATTTTATGTAGCTTTCAGAACATCTGTAATAAACAATCAACATTGTTTAAGAAACACATTTTCCCAAATTTGAACTAAGAAAAAATATCTATTTAATAACTAAAATTATAGTAACTTTATGATGAATAGAGATGAATAAGAGTGGGGGAACTCAATGTGTTGTCATCACGAATTACAAATGGCGGATTAAAAAAAACTACAAAATTTTTATTTATTAAATACATATTTTTTTACTTGAAATTTGCGAAAATGTGTTTCGTGAACAGTGTTAATTGTTCATTACAGATGTCCTGAATGCTACATAAAATATACAGAGTTCTACGTAGTGTTATCTGAAATATCCAGGTTAGAATTTTGAAAAATTTTTTTCTCGAAAACTAGATTCAACCGCACGAAAATAACTTCAGATTCGTGTTCAGCAGCATCGAAAATAGGGGGGTAGACAAAATTTTGTGAAGATTTGAGAGGGTGCCACTATACTAAATAATTACCATTTTCTTCTTTCAAGAAAATTATTTTTTTATTAAAACTATCTGCTCATTTGATCCAAATACTTTTTCTTTCAGTGTGTAAAAACAGAAGATGATAGGCTTGGTCCATTGAAAGTATCGTCTTGTTTTTTTCTATCTTGAATTTATGGTACCTTTCCAAAACACCCTGTATATAGTTTTTTTAGGAATAAAATGATATATGTACTGAGAATGACTTCTTGAGGCTTCTGTATATAATCTGTTGAATGGTTGTGTAGTCAATATATTATCCTATGTTTATAATATATCAAGCCGATATAATTTACTCTAAAATATATTTATAGTTTATGAAACCCAAATTTATCTAGTGTAAAGGTAAACTTATAACCATTAAAATAATCTCATATTGACTGGAACCTTTTGGATCTCGTTTAATGAAAATCAAAAGTAAGGCGAAACGGTTCTATTTAAAATTTTCGAGTCGCTATATTTAAATTAGTTGTGATCTATGAACCTGTTGGCCGGCACCGGCGACGAGAATTGTAGAAGTACGAATGTATCGTTAGTTGTGTGCTTAAAAAAATGTTTACGCGTATATTCAGTGCCGTATGTGATATACAGGGTCTAAGGATGTGGCATGGTAAACCACTTAAGAAATTCCTAAGACGTTTCTAGCTTTAACCTTCAAAATTTATTTCTTGTAACACCTTTAATATTTTCTTGATATTGCCATTTTTGTTCCAAGCGCGTTAAAGGTAAGGGAATAATGTGCCGTCCTCTCGGTTGACCTGATCTAACACCCATTTAGATTGTTCGAGATTAAGGGCGGGTATTTCGTGGATCTCTATGGAATATTCTTATTGTGTCGCGGAAGAGAGTTTTGCGGTTGCGGAGGTAGGGGAAATGGGTACGTTTTTGGAAAGCACAGTAAAATCTTCAGTCCAATCCTGTAAGAGGAACATTATCTTTCCTATCTGCGCGGGCGGCTCACTATCAATAATTGCTATCATCGGCTATCAAACTTAGTATCTGGAATGCTTTCATAAAATGTGCTCGGTCCGTAGCGGCTATACATTTTTCGTGTCATATGTGGTTGCAAAGCTATTACGCGTTGTATAACGCGCGAATACCCAGTGATGTTCCTCATCATATTCCTGCTGCTCTTCGGGAACTCCCTGTCGTCCGAATTCAACAACAGCATCCTGCTAACACCGCCCTGGGAGTTGGAGGGAAACTGCCCTTCTCTGCCCGATACCTGTGGAGAGAACCCGCCGGATAATCCGTGTCTTACATGCAACAGTACCGGGATCTGTACCGTGTACGTTGCCGTGGTGCTACCCAGTTCCGAGTTCTACATTGTACACCTGAACAGGGTAATTAGCACCTTCCGAAATCATTACGGTTCCTTTGTTTTAGGATGTAAGACGGATATGAATATTTTCATTTGTTGCTATTCGGCTAGTTCCTTATCAAACGTGAAGGAAATAGATTGTTTACCTGGTGCACGGAATATTTGTAGTAGTGTGACGTGCATCTTACGTGGGTAGTTTTCTTTGTTAGGGGGTCACATTTTCATCCCGGTTTGTGGAACGGGGGAGAACGATTTTATATAATTACGTAGAGTGGACGACTTTATCGATATCAGTTCGTGTACTTCAACGGAATCATGTCTTGCTATTTTTTATGTAGTGTTTTTTTAAAACTAATTTGATAAGACTGTTTTACTGTAAAAATTAATTGATAAGACCGACCTAAAAATTGTATTTCTATTTATCTTTTATTTTTTTCTCGCCCATTTCCGAACGGGAATTTTTTTTCACATCTTCGTAATAAATAAAATCGCCATTCTACAAGTCGTACTACAAATAAAGATATCGTACATAATACCGCAGACGTCGTACAAAAATATCGAAACATTTTATCATGTGAGAAAGCAGCAGATTATTTTTCGTTCTTATAGTTAAGTCATTGTAATTACAGTTTAAATAATTATCAATTACTTTCTATAAATAGCGTCGGTGGTTTATCTATTTATTGATATTATAATATAATAAGAACCTGAGAGATAGTATCATACTGATTTTAAAGTATCTTTTATAGATTACACTTTAAAAATAGGCGTAAGATGTCACATATTTTTTTGCGTAATTAAAAAAGTATCAATATTTACATCGTGAAATAGTTTTAAAGTAAAATAGTTTAATTTAGAACACAATTTTTCTCATCACGAACCTAGTTGCTATTGTTCATAAAATAATTTAAATATGTTCATGTTTTAAAGTGCTTTTCTTTCTTTATGTTGTTTTGTTCTCTTTCATGTTGTATTACTTTTAATCGTGTTCCAATGTTTGCCTTACTGCAAATGTACACAACGTAGGCAATCTATTTACATGAAAGATTTATCATTAAATTTATATTATTTTCCAACTTTTTTTAAAAATTTGACTAGCTTTCGATTTTCTCATTACTTTACTTGTTCGCAAAAACGATTGACTCAACGTAACAGGTAAAACTTTCAGTCCAAGCAAATTCTAAAAGAAGCGGAAAACAGGACCAGGGATCTTCAGTTACTGTCCGACAATATTGTCATCGAATACCAGTTTTACGATGATGGATGTAGCCAGAGCCAAGTTTCTGGCGCTATGGTGCAGGCCATAACGGCCAATGACGGTTGTTTGAATGTCATGTTTGGTCCGATATGCGAATATCCGTTGGGTAAGTGGCAATTTTTATTAACAAAAATATTTAACAATGTTTCGATTGCGGTCATACTTTATCAAACTACTTCTCAATAAAGATAAAAATTGCTGCATTATCTTCCACAGCCATACATTTAGCAGCAACTATATTGACATATTTCCTGGCTATATAAATGATTAAGATAACTGAACTGATTTTCGATGGGAAGAGAGTAGGGAATGATTTATGCGACCCAAAAAAGTTTCGTTACTTTAAAAAAATTATTATTATTTATTTCAATGTAAGTATTATTCGTTGAAAATATTATCATAATCCAGTTTCTATTGCTTTGCCCGCAAATAATTAAAACAATTTTATGATTGCCACATAAGTCAAATAAATACGTTTATTATTAGTCAGAAAAATATGTTGATATTGATTTAGATATATCAGTACCTCATGTTAAGTTCAATAGATTGTTTTTATATGCTCTGCACAGATATTCCTTCCAGATATTACTTTTTCAGTTTTGAGTTAAACCGAAACACATTAGTTTTTTAATATGTAAAAAGGTATTATTGTATAGAAAAAATATATGTTTTTAGCCACAGCAGGAAGAATGGCAAAGTATTTGGGAAATAATGGGGTTCCCCTGATAACCCCTTTGGGATTAAGCTTGGATTTTACGAACAAAAAGACCGTCTTCAATAATGAGATGTACCTTATGATAAATTCTGGATCTGTTGATTTTAGATCTTACTCTGAATTTCTGCATTTATTAATGAACAGGTAACGATTTTAAGTGTAACATGACATTTTGTTGTGTTTACAAAAATAAGTTCGAATGAGCGAAACGCATCTTGCAGTAAATGAAATGCATCTCATTTTTGTTACCTACCAAAGTTTTAAGAAATGTTCTTGCAATTTCAAGGAAATTAAAAAAAAATGACTTGCATTTTAAACATACAATTTAAACGTATATTGTGTTCGATTCAAGATATATTATAATCCTCTATGTTTTGGCATTATTTTTAAAGTGTTTTGAAGATATCAAATCATTCTTAAACGTGTCTTATTCAATGTAAACAGTTGGTATTAGAATTATCTTTAATACGTGTTGAGAGATATGAAAATGTATACGCATTTTATAAAGATAAACAGCCGGCACAATGAGAGGTTTTTGGCAGGCAACTATTTATTTGAAAGATGATCGTTTATCGCAAATCGGTCCAAAAATATTGCTTTAAGTAAATTGTTGATGGAGCTGTCAATTATTCCGGGAAACTTTTTATTTTGAGCGGGTAAAATCACTCGCCAAGTTACAATTTATATTTCAAAATCGGTAATAATGAATCGTCTATTTCAAATATTATACTTTTTTGCGTGACGTCCTGTATATCATTATGTATTTGGCTCTGGGATTATATTTTAATCTTAGAAGATCCAGTCGAACGTGATTAAGTCAGAGTTAACTGCTTTAAAACTGCATACCTAGATAATTATATTTACTGTAACTTTAAAACTAATCACAGAAAGTAGGAAAATTACTTAATAACAGCACATTTAATTTAAAGAACGTCGGTGTTCATTTAAATCCCTTTCTATCAGGTAGTAGTTTTTTTCGGAAAAAAAATACACTTGAGAGGTTGCTACTTTGTCAAAGTTTCTAAAATGCCCGTTCTAGGGTGCTTCTTGGCAGAATTGCTGAAGTGGTTCCGTCTGAAGCCGTTGTTAAATACATCGCTCAAGTTAATGTTTTGAAAACTACCTCGGTTTCCGTTATCAAAACACTTCTGAAATATTTGCTTTACTTCCGCCTAGAACAGTATTCGTACATGTTCTTTTCAATCACGAAATTCTTAATTCCGTTTATAATTCGTTCTATAAAAATAATTACCAAGCCCTATCAAGAAATGGCAAAATGGAATCTTCCTAAGTTTATTTACGAAATTGCGAATTTTCTAACGCTTCAGCGTCTCGTAATTTCCTTTTATTGCAACAGAAACCCTTGTTAAAGGGAATAATTATAATTAAGGGTCAAGTTCGACATGATTTCAGGTTCGGTTGGCGGAAACTGGTGCTGATGTACGAGAAAAACCAACAAGTTGAAGTAGGAGGCGAGCAAACCTGTTATTTATTCATGAAAACATTGATCTATGAGATACAAAACATCTCGAACTTGGACTATGTAGACGGGGACGTTGATTTGCTAGGCTCTAATTACACGGACTTTTTGCAAGACAAAGTCGGGGTCAAATACGGAAGTGAGTTAAAATTTTCAAAGCTACATCACCACGCAAAAACGTACGCATTTTTTTCCAGTTATACTGACGTGCGCCAACCAGCAGAACATAAGGGAAATTATCATCGAGGCAGCCAAACTGAATATGATGGACCGAGGGGAATACACCTTCCTCAACTTCGAGCTATACAACAAGTAAGCGAATCCCGCGTAAACTTAATTAAGGGCTAAACGTGAGATAAAATCGAGGCCCTGGTAATTCATTCCGTCTAATTGCGTAACCCGCATTAATCGAAAGTACAGCGAAAGATTTAATTTGATAATTATTATTCAGTTGCTCATATATAACCACCGAACATTTCAGTGCCACCATACCGTCCAAACCTTGGTACAACAGCGACGACACGAGAGCAAACAACGAGCTAGCCAGGAGAGGCTACCAGGCCGTTTACACTTTCATGCCCATACGGGAAACTAACTTCGATAAAATCGAAGAGCAGGCACAGAGAGGATCGATTTATCTCGACAGTTTGTACGACAGCATGATGATGTACCTTCAGGCTTTAAATCGGTCCCTCAACGAGGACGAATCTGGGAATTTCATGTCCAACCAAACGTTGCTCGGCTGCAAAGTGGCCCATCAGATGATGGGAAGGACTTTCTTAGGTAGGATTACTTGATAAAAGAAAAGATAATTACGTTTCGTCACTGTCAATGTTCCTTTGTAATTTACCCGAAGAAAGGGGCGCGTAAAAATTGTATTCGCTCTAATAGCAGAACAGCAAATTTGTTTTTCTCATCCCTTTCGTGTCCTTGCATTAGGATCATTAATCTCAACTTCATCTAATTATTTGGACGTTTCTGAACGGCAGTTTCGGTACATGGTAAATCAAAAAATATATGCGAGTCTCTTCTCTAGGCTTCGAAATAAAGCTTGCGACGTCGAAATGAGGTCTTTATTTTTATTATTATTTTTTTAGGGAAATCCGGGCAGCAGATGGTGATGAACTGCAACGGGCAGAGGACTGCACAGTACGCCCTCCTAAATGTAAATTCAAGCGGAGAGTACGAGATAGTTGGAATTTATTCGACCTCGAATAAATCCATCGATAGGTGGACCGTCAGATGGCCGTTTGGGGAGCCCTCGGACACACCTGCGTGCGGATTCGATTTGTCGAAATGTCCAAGTAGGTTCCCGTTCGAAACTTCCGCGAAAAAATATCAACAAAATTTTAGGTCTTTATATATTGTTATTTTTTTTTCAGCTTACGATAAGGTGAAGATCCTTTTTATTTGTCTGATATGCGTCACGTTTCTGGGGTTGACCGCGGTGGCTATTATTTTGTACAGGTGAGTGCTGACAATTTACTTTGTGCTGTCGCAAGTTATTTGGCACTGGAAAGCGTTATTTGGAAGCACGTTTAATTACTGGACGTATTAAAAATTAGTATGTAATCCTCGTGGCGTTGCTAAAATAATATTTTCTATGTTAAATCGTTCCAAGTCTGATTTTAGCTCGGCTTTACAAGATTTTGTACATTTAGTTTCTCTTTGAATAACAAAGGGTTTTATTTTTAGTTACATTTCCATTCCACGCAAAGGAGCGGGTTACCGCCAGTGGCGGGACCACCAGTTTTGACTCGGGGTAGGGATATACAGGGTGTGGCGTGTATAATCTATAAAAATTAAACTACAGCTTCTTGACGATATTTGTAATAGAAAAGTCTTATACGAAAAAGTTCTATTTTTGCGTTTTTTTTTCGTAAATTAAACTTCAATTATGGATCAAAATATTTTCTCGGGAACGGTCCTGTCCGTGTGCACGTACTGTAGGCCAGCCGCGTAAACAAATCCTCGTTGAAAGATAGAAAGATAACTCTATTTTTAGGGGATTTTTCAATGCAAAAGTACAAACTAAGAAAAATAGATATTTAAAAAGAAACTGATATTTTCGTATTATAATAATTAATTAATAGTAATTATTATCTTAAATGCATTGTTGTTACTGCAAGAGTTCGCAAACAAAACCACATCCTATGCTATGCTTGTACGGAGGATTGGCACCCTCTGTGCAGGTATGGTAGGGTGGAAGAATGTTGGCTTGGGTCAATGTGAGAGATTGACACCGGTTGGCATTTGACCACCCCCCTAATTAATGAGGTTTTCCAGGTTTCTCTCATTCCTGCACTGAATGGTGGTTAGGGCCTACCAACATAAGTCGTTCCTGGGCGCAAATGCGGCCTGCCTAATAATAATATGCCGCCTCCTCTCCCGCACAAGTCTTCGACTTATAAATAAACTCCATTAAAATATGGGACAAAATGAAATAAAACTTACCATTTCTAAAATCTGTTGAACTGGTTGCAGATGATAGGGGTGCAACAGCTGGCGCGATGTAGGGTACGAGATGAGGTTCCTACTTGCTGTGCGAGTCGTCGAGTACTAATTGTGGGGTCTTCGTCAAGATATTCCAACACTACATCTTCAACGTTAAGGTTCACTTGCTGACCACGTCCTTCTCCTCGAGGAATAACACTTCCCGTATCTCGCAGTCGCTGAACGCACTGTAGGAATGTATTTGCACATGGGGGGTGACGTTGTGGTCATCGTTCCCGGTACAACCTAGTCGCCGCGAGCGAATTTTCTCCGGCTGCACCATACACTAACACCATATCGACACGTTCGGAAATAGTAAATGCATTGTTTTCTCAGTTCATTGTAAAACTAGTTTGTGCACAAACTAAAGCATTAAGCAAAGTAAGAAATAAGAATCTCGTTTTTAATGTAATCGGCACGCTATTCTTATTTTTTACTTCTTTATAAAAATTACACTGTCACTATCGTGGAATTACAAAATAAAATCTTTTGTCTGGAATCTTTCACTTTTTAACACTGATGGGTCGATGGACGATGCTTAATATTTAAATTAAGTGAATAATGAATTCAATACAAATACAGTCAGTTGACTGCACAAATTTTTTGACAATGTAACCTAACCTTCTTTTAGTATTACTAGTATTAGTTTGTACCGACTTAAATTATAAGGTTGCATCTCGGGTCGCATAAAAACATTTCCAAAGTTTTTAATCAATAACACAGGGTCGGCCTTCATTTTCGTTAAATAACTGAACTTTAATTTACAAAAAAAACGCGAAGATAGAACTTTTTCGTATAAGACTTTTCTATTACAAATATCATCAGGAAGCTGTAGTTTAATTTTTGTAGATTATACACGCCACACCCTGTATATATTCAAATGGGTGTAGTGTGGAAATTAACGTATAAGTTTTCGAAAAAATAGAACAGTCTCCTTGAGAAATGTATACTCGTAGATGTTGGTATACCCGGAAATAAATTAATTTGGGCGAAGGTAACGATTTTCTTTAAATACGAATGTTTATTTGTGTACGATTCTTTGCGTCGTTGCCGGCCCCGAGGCACTCTCTTGGTCACGGCCCAATTAAAAATGTAGCAGGACACGAATTACACATTAATACCGTTGTAGGAATAAGCATCAATTTTAAATAGCTGGAAAACCATTAAGCTTTCGGAACTAAGGCGTTAAGCTTCCGGCCGAAGTTATGTGAAGTCGGGGAAAATCATATAAAGTTACATACGTGAAACTTCGCGATTTAATATTCGTGGGGGTATCCGTGGCTTTTCAAATAACAGTAAATTTAGGGTCCCAAGTTCCCTTTATGCGCGAAATTAATAGGTGCTCGCATAACCGTTTCCATTCAAAAAGAACTCGCGAAAAAGGTGTTGCAAAACGTGGATCCCGATCTCAGCCACCTTGTAGCTCGGAATACAGCTTTACTTAAATTAGAAAATTACATATTTTTCTTGTAGAGCGGCCGAGGGAATCGCCTCATTTTTTATAATTTCCGACAGCCGTATAGGAGCGGATCCGAGGGAGCCGGCCGCTAACGAATAATTTCGTTATCTGAGTTGATGGGCTGTGACCGACAATTGCTTCCAATATCGCTGCCGCTACGTTTTATAACTAACGACGTTACCGCACCAAAGGAGGTTTTCTAGTGTTTAATTTTTATTTATCTTCGCCGCTCCCACGCACATCCAACGGTCCGTTTTCATTTTTTTTTGTTTCAGACAGTTCAAACTCAGATCTGAAATTGAAGCAAAAGCTTGGAAGGTGAATTACAACGATATTTTATTTCTACCAGCGAAGGCCCGGAGCAGTTTTCAGTCCACCGCATCCATAAGGGTATGACACATGTATCATTTACTTTATTCATTCCTTAACCGCCTCGACTACTGCTCTAAATTTAATAAAGGAAAAAAAAACAATTGCTTCTTGAAATTAATCAAAAGATGCGAACTCCATTATAACAAAAGGGGATTGGATTCTCAATTTCGCTTTTAATCTCGTTCTGGAGGTCGGTTTCTACTTTATGTTTTTTGTAACTACGCATATTATTTAACCGCCAAATTGCCGCAGATGTACAGGTCCTCCACAACAAAATCCATTCACGGATTTTTTCAATTCTAGTTATACTAGGCCTATTTTTACGAGGTGCTACCATTCAGTGTCAGTTGCTACTACAGTAGAGCTTCGATAATCCGAACGCTGGTAATTTGAACCCCCCCAACAATCCGAACTACCTAAAACCCTAATATGGCTGCCATACACTATTGAAATTCGGGAAAAATCACGTGGTCAAGTGAGAGGGCGTCTATAAGTACATTAGTTTTAGATTAGATTACTGAAACCTTAGTTTGCTGCGTGTTCATGCGAGTAGCATTTAATAATAACATAATAATTAATAACACAGCCACAAAAAAAAAGTTGTCTGTACTTTTCATGCGACATATGTTATCTGTAGTATTTTTGCTTCCTGATTACAAATCCGGTGTCCGAATTAAGCTATCATATCATAGGAATTTCATAACCTCAAAAAAACAGGTCAAAAATAACAAACATTCACGAAACAGTGCTAGGAGAAATACAACAATTTTTTTTTCTATATTCAAATGTTAATTTATATAGTTAAGACTATATGTTCTTTTTCTGACCTCAAAAAAACGGGTCAGATATCACGAATTTTCAAAAATAATACATTCGCGCCAAATTACGGGGGTTTTCGGAGTCGGTGATCACGAATTCGAGGTCAATTTTGCAAAATTCAATATGGCGGATCCAAGATAGCCGACCAAATTTTCAAAAAATAACTTATTCGCACCAGATTTGGTATACAGGAGTCGCTGATCACTAGAGTTCGGGGTTTTCGTCGGCTAATCATAGTCGTGTTCATCGTAAACAAATAAATAAACAGGTGGATATAAATAAAAATAAATAAATGTTCGTACTTTAGCAGCGAAAGGTCGTTTTTACTCTTTGGTGCGTTCGACATTATTAGAATATTAAAACAGGTATATATACACAAAGCAAATGCGAAGCCAATAACTGCCGTTATTACCGGTTTCGTACGATGCGCTGTAGCCAAAGGCCGACGCGCCGGTTATGATCATCCGACCGAGTCCCGAATTTTACTGATCGAGGTCAGAATTGCGAAACTCATTTTGTAATATTTTTGTTTACCTTATAACTTGAGTACCCAATCACCTAACCTTCTGTTTTTCGGCCGTATCTTGTTCTTCTTTCTGGGTTTTCTGCCTAGTCTCAGGTAATAAAGTACATAGGTAATTGATTAAATTTTTAAAAATTAATTTTGTAAATTTGATCGTGATCAGTGACCCCGAAAACCCCCGTATACCAAATTTGGCGCGAATATGTTATTTTTTGAACATTTGGTCGGCCATCTTGGATCCGCCATCTTGAATTTTGCAAAATTGACCTCGGATCCGTAGTCAGAGACCCCCAAAACCCCCGTATACCAAATATGCTGCGATTCTGTTATTTTTTGAAAATTTGTGATATCTGACCTTAATTGACCCGTTTTTTTGGGGTTAGAAAAAGAACCATCAATTCTGACCGCGGATTCACATTCGCCGGGGTCTTAACCAAATAAATGAACATTTGAATATAGAAAATAAAATTGTTGTTCCTAGCACATTTTCGTGAATTTCTGCTATTTTTGACCTGTTTTTTGAGGTTAGGAAATTTCTGTGATGTGATAGCTCAATTCTGACACCGGATTCGTGATCAGGAGACACAAATACTACGGATAATATATGTCGCATGAAAAGTACAGATAATTTTTATTGTATGTGGCTACGAACTACCTTTGGTCCCAGTTGGTTCGGATTATCGAGGTACTATTGCATTACTAAAGGCCGACGCAGACTAAACGCTCGGGTCACGCTCGCGCTACGTTCACGGTTCGCACGCGATCAATAATTTTTGCTAGTATTCAGATCAGTTTTTATTTTAATATAATTCCTAAATTCAATGAATTGCACGTCCGTTTTGTCTGTAATTGCACGACTATTTTCAACTTAAGTATTGTCTGGGTCACAGTCGAAGACCCTGAACGGGTTATGTCCTGACCGGCTAATCTGAATTGGTGTTGACAATTATATTTTTTTACATAACGTACAATATGGCGTCCGTACGATAAAATTAAATTATTTGGTGCAAATTTTTAAATAAAATTTCCTAGTATATTATGCTGATAATATTTCGTCTTTCAGACTGACATCGATGGTTTCAGCATGGCCGGCGACAAGCAGCTGTACGCCACTGTAGGTTTCTACAAATCAATTAGAGTAGCGGTGAAATTCCTGCAGGACGTCAAGATAGATCTAAACCGTAGCGAGCTGTACGAATTGAAAGTTATGAAAGACTTATCGAACGATAACTTAGTGAAGTTCTACGGCGCCTGTTTGGACATACCGAACTGCATCCTGACGGAGTACTGCCCCAAGGGAAGCCTCCAGGACATCCTCGAGAACGAACAGGTGAAATTGGACTGGACCTTTCGGATGTCCTTGATAATGGACTTGGTGCGCGGGATGCATTACCTTCACCGTAGCGCAATTAAGTCACACGGTGCCCTGAAGTCGTCGAATTGTTTAGTGGACAGTCGGTTCGTTCTAAAAATTGCCGATTTCGGGCTCAACTTCCTGCGGATCCACTCGAACGAGGATTTGTTCGACGTCGAGTCGCACTCGTACTGGGAACGTAAGGATTTAATCCGACTGCGTTCGAAACGACAAAATTAACGGTTTTGTTTCAGGACAGCTGTGGTCGGCTCCGGAGCTTCTGAATTCCGATCCGTTCCCCCCCGGCGGCACCCAGAAAGGCGACGTTTATTCCTTCGGGATAATAATGCACGAGATAATCATGAGGCAAGGCGTTTTCTACCTAGGAGATCAGTACAGGGAACCTAAGAGTAAGCGACATATTTTTATATCGGACGCGCGCGCACGGGAATTCATCATTTCGTTTTTCGCTCGTTCAGTTCCCGTGCCGAAATTCGGATTATGCTGTCACATTTCAATTTGAATAACGAAATTAATATTTCATCCAGCGCCTCCCGTCCCGGCGAGCTCGTTGGGATGTTACAATACTCTGTATAACAGCGGGCGAGTCGGTGACCCCATAACTGCGAATGTCGGAATGGGAGACCGTAAAAACTTCCCTACGACTTTGTAGTGAATTGTATCATCCATGTTTATCCGATGCCAGACGGGTCTCCTAATTTATTCCTAATATTTACCCGGCCCTCCCAAAATATTTTCCTTGCCAAAATCCTTACGGACGAGGATTTCGAATGGAAACGTAGGCACGTCATTGTACTAGGCACATAAATTAAGGGATATGAAAAAAATAACAAAATTTTGGGTGATTTTTAAAGGGCTGTAACTTGAAGGGAAATGGTCGTAGAGAGAATAAAAAAAAGGAAATTGAAGCTTCAAGTGTCTAGTTTTCAGATCTGCAGTTACAACCAAATTTTTTTGACGTTTGTGAAGCTTGTGGATATGTTAAAAAAAATTTTTGAAAGAAATAATTCTTGAAGAAATTATTGCTAAAAAAAATAATTTTTAACTTAAAAAGGTGAATAAAAAGTGAAAAATTACTTATTACATTGATTTTCAGCAAAACGACAAATTTAAACATTCTGTGCATTAAGAAAAAAAATCGCAGCGTTTTGAAATTATCAGGGTTTCTTTAGGATGCTTTGAGGTTGAAAAGTTACAGTCCATATCCTTAGTTTATTCATTACACAGCCACACAAAAAAAGAAAAGTTGTCTGTACTTTTCATGCGGCAAATTCGCGCCAAATGTGGTATACGGGGGTTTTTGGGGTAGCTGATCACGGATCCGAGGCCAATATTGCAAAATTCAAGATGGCGGATCCAAGATGGAGGCCAATATTGCAAAATTCAAGATGGCGGATCCAAGATGGAGGACCAAATTTTCAAAAAATAACAGATTCGCATCAAATTTGATATAAGAGGGTTTTCGGGGTCGCTGATCACGAATTCGAGGTCAATTTTGCAAAATTCAAGATGGCGGCCGACCAAATTTTGAAAAAACAACATAATCGCGCCAAATTTGGTATAAGGGGGTTTTCGAGGTCACTGATCACGAATCCGAGATCAGATTTACAAAATTCAACCCGTGAATAGATCTCTTACAGAAAAAAGAACAAGATATAGCCGAAAAAAATAGGTTAACACATGATTAGGTTATAAAGTAAAATATTACAAAATGAATTTCGCAATTCTGACCTCGAATACGTAATCAGCGACCCCGAAAACCCCCGTATCCCAAATTTGCTGCTATTCTGTTACTATTTGAAAATTTGTTCGGCCATCTTGGATCCGCCATCTTGAATTTTGCAAAATTGACCTCGGATCCGTAGTCAGAGACCCCCAAAACCCCCGTATACCAAATTTGCTGCGCATCTGTTATTTTTTGAAAATTAGGTCAGCCATCTTGGATCCGCTATCTTGAATTTTGCAAAATTCCGTGATCAGCGACCCAGAAACCCCCCGTATAACAAATTTGGCGCGAATCTGTTGTTTGAGAATTCGTGATATCTGACCTTAATTGACCCGTTTTTTTAAGGTTAGAAAAAGAACCGTTAATTCTGACCGCGGATTCACGTTGGGGGGGGGGTCTTAGCTATATAAATGAACATTTAAATATAGAAAAAAAATTTGTATTTTTCCAAGCACTTTTTCATGAATATTTGCCATTTTTTATCTGTTTTTTCAGGTTAGGAAATCCCTGTGACGTGATAGCTCAATTCTGACACCGGATTCGTGATTAGGAGGCAAACATACTACAGATAACATATGTCGCATGAAAAGTACAAACAACTTTTCTTTTTTTGTGTGGCTGTGTTATTTGCAAAGTTATTCAAATATCCCTAATTATGCAATTTTTTACCATTTCTCTAATTTTCACATTTTCTTTTATCAAAAACCCATAATTACGACTTATAGAGAATGCTTTGCAGTTTTCAAAACCCTACTTGGATTTTCTGTACGACCATTATTTCCCGAGTAATTGATTGCCACAGTCAAAAATGATTTTTTTGCTTTGATCGTCGATAACTCGGCGACAAATAATCGTACAAGGCTCCGGAACCGCTCAAATATAAGAGAATTAAAATATCTAAAAGAGCGTTATGATGAAATTACCAAAAAAATTTTTCATAGGCCTTTTTAAAAAAAAGCAAAAATTTAAATTTTTTTCCGTTGATTTTCTTATGATTACTCAAAAACTGCTGTCGCTAAAAAATTGTAAACTGCAGCTCTGAAAACTAGACACTTGAAGCTTCAATTTCCTTTATTTTGATTCGCTACGACCATTTCCTTCCAAGTTACAACTCTTTGAAAATCACCCGAAATGTTGTGATTTTTTTAATATCCCTTAATTTCTGTGCCTAGTGTGTGACTGAAATCGAACGCTGTTATTACATTGTTGTTGAAACACGTCATGCATAGCTGCTTCGCGGATTTATACACCTAATTACAAAGAGCTCAACAAATAGTACAACTCGAAAATCCTGGCTGCTGTTACATCGTGCTTCACTTAAGTGAATCGGTAAATATATTTACCTAAACCGTAAATGCAGCGCGTCGCTAGATGTGTACGTATAAATCGATATACATACATTATATAACATTTCAGTGCTGGTAATTATGAAATTGAAGTGAATCGTATAAATAGTAAATAGTGTTCGCGTTTTGCAATAAAACAAGGAACGCTAATGGAGTACTTTTACGTGTTTTGCACGCGATAAATTAGGATGCGAACACCCTCGGTTTAGATCCAGACGTTTGGAGACGAAATGGTTTTAGGCCTTTAACCCACAAATTACCTACGCTTGTTTAAACGCTCTGGGAATCAAGTCGAAGATTTTCACTACGTGTGTACACGTAGTGAGGGACTTAGCGGCTGAATTCCAATCTTGGTGATACTGAATGTATAATAATAAATAATACATTTTCTTTAAAAAGCAGGGCTATATTCACTACGTATACAGGGTGATTCAGTCAAGATGTCAATAATTTTAACCGTAGGCAGAAAATCGAAAAAAAAATTGACGGCCTTTTAAAAGATAAGCAAATTACCCTTAACTCCCGCTAAATCGGCGCCCTACTTTACAATATATTTTATGACTAGAAATGCGCCGGCGGGCCACAGAGCGTTCGAACGTTGAAGCGAAACAGCTGATTTCCCCAGTCCTCTTGAATTTTGCGATTGGTTTCAAAAGCGCAGCGAATCCCAACTTTATTAACAAAGAACTCGGAAAAACGAAGCCACTGGATCAAAGATTATTGCTAAATTGTTTATAAATTAACGGTAATTGCCGATAAACTTTGACCGCTTATATCTCGAGAACCAATAAGCGGAATTTAACTTTTCATTTTTAAAAACAAGCGTCTTTCCGAGTACTTTAACACTATAATTTTTGAAAAACACTAAATTGCAAATTGATACATGTGATCTAATTGTTTAAAAATAAAAAAAAAGAGTGTTAACTTTAAAAATTTACTATGGCCGTCCTAATCAACCGATTTCAATTTTTCAAAAACCATTTGACAGGTTGAGCTGTCTTCTATGTGAAAAAATTTTCAAGTATCTAGAAGCTTTATTTGAGGCTGTATAACATTTTGAAAATTCGAAAATTTTTTTAAAAATTTTTTTCAAAAAATTATTTTGCGAAAACTAACCTATTTTAATGAAATTTGGTCCTATGTTGTTTTATTATACTCCACAGTTTTTTTATCAAAATTAGAATGCCCTCGGAGCAATTAAAATATTTTAAAAAATTATCCAAAAAAATTGATTATTTTGCCATTTTTACATCAATTATTGCTATTTTGCAATATCGGTAATAAATTTAAACATTTTTAACTTACAGTATATTGTGCAAAATTCAATTCCAAAACTTTTTTCCTCTTCAATATTCTTCCAAGATATAAGCCAAAAACTCGGATAAAATAGCTATTTTTTAAAATTTTTGCAATTTTGAAAATGTTCCGGAACTCGCCCAGATCTAGGCATCTACACTTTTATTATGTGAGTTGTACTGAAGGTATTCAATTTCAATTTTCTGTGCTTTTTTCTTTTTGACAACCAAGAACGGCGGTGACAACATTTTTAACAATATGGCGATGTTTCGCATTGTATTGCGCTATGTCCTGTACAAATTCTATCGGTTTCAAAAATACTATACTATGTATGTTTTTTTCTCTTTAATTGACTCAATTAGCGTTTCGACTTATACTCCAGTGGCGGGTAACAACAATTTTTTTTTAGAGGCCTCCACAGCCCTGGGCAAAAATTGTAGCTACGCCCATGACAATTATGTTATTTTGAAAATTAAGCGGTTATAGAAAAAATTATTAGACAAAAGTTGTTGCTTTTGACAAGCCCGTATCATTTTCAGTTTTAGCTCTGCACTTTCAGCGCCCGTGGGGTTAATTCCAAGTTACTGTACTCGCATCGCGCAACGGAACGCGAGTGTCGAGAAAGTTTCATTCACTTAGCCGTCTGGAACGCATTTTTTGTATTTCCTCGCAATCATTGATAGTTTTTTTATAAGTTTGCCCCGCCACGAGAAGAGCCGTACCGTTTAGATAACGGCGAAGCGGTATTTTGGAATGACTAAGCATGAAATTTTACACCCGATCGATCTTTTGTGAGCGGCAAAAAGAGGAGTTACAGTCACGTAAATCCCCAGAAATATTTTATCACTTGGACGTGGGAAGTATTGCAAATCTATAAATTCGTGCGTAACTTCAATTTTATATGAGGAACAGTCAATCCGGCCTCATCAAAACGTTTTGGGAGGGCGGAAAAAACATTTGTTAAGGGCGGGTTAACTTTCAGGTATGCTTACATTTTTAACTTACAGTATATTGTGCAAAA